CAGAGATAAAAACAAAAAGCAGACATACCTATTAAACCCTGCATTTTTTTACCCAAAGAGTCACTGAGTTTGTGTTAACATGTTAAAGCACAAGAACAAAATGTCTTTTCTTTTGCTAATTAAGTCTGTGTGTCTGCACTCTTGCTCAACGAACACAGAAATGCAGGGCGACGTGCACCTGGCGTGAGAAAGAGCATCCATTTAACACATTAGTGGCATGATCAATTCTTCACAGCTGCCTCACCTTTGTGTCTTCCTTCCTGCTTTCATTTACGTTAATCCACTGCCCTTTAAAAACAGGAGCAAAAGGACACAAAAAACAACTTCTAAAATACAAATAGGAGAATATGACCACCAGCAAAGGCATATCATTTTTATAATTAGGGTTACATTTGCTCTTATACTACTTATAATACGGAAATTTAAACATTTGACTGATCAATTCGACCAGGCACGTGCACACATAGGGGTCGACCTGTGCAGTGCACATGCCCTTTTTGGTCTTGGATAGAAAGTGCCCTTCCAAAATGATCTGAAGTGCCCCCGCGACACCCGTCCCTGCCACCTGCCTATATTACCTACACAAGAAATCATCCACTCATTTATTAATAAATAAATCATTAAAGGTTTAATCATCATAAGCTATGGATATTAATTGTTTTGGCCGATTGGTTGCCAGTATTAGCTTACATTTTATGAATCAGCACAGACTAAAAAAAAAACAAACAAACATTTAAAAACTTCTTAAAAACTTATAACATGCTTTAAATCTTAAGTAAGCTTGTTATTGGCCATTATATAACTTGATCTTAGCAAGTTTAGTGCCAATGTAATTCTCAAGACCCATTTAATCTACTAAAAAAGCAACTGAATATGACAGACTAGATATAAATAACTCAGTTTTACTTTGAACTTCAACTTTAAGCCAAAATAATTTCTTTCTAGCAACTTTTCCTTTTATTAGACACAAAAACTGATATGTTTTTTCCATCAATCTTGTACGTTGTTGTTGTAACTGGCAGCTTTGACCAGAACATTCTCGTCCAGTAGTTCTAGACGCCCTGGATGGAGTAACAGTTCATTTTAATCCAAATTGGTTCCAGTAATAATTAGCATTGAAACACTTTTTCACTACAGCTCAATAATAATGGCTGTTCAATAGATATTTCATGAGTTATATTTCACATACATACATATCTATACCCCCCCCCCACACACACACACAGATTCATTGTACAGATTCTATCTCCCTAACACATACACATAACCCCAACCCTCATGAGTCCCCATGTGTCTCTGTGCATCAGGTTTAAGTCCCCATTGGGATTTAAAAACAAGTTATTACACACATTTAATTATGAGTATGTAGAAAATAAAAAACAGACAAGCTTTCAGTACAGAACACTACTTATGTTTGGCGAAAGTTACTCATTTTGGGACATCTCTAAAAATGCAGGATAGTTGGTCACCCCTTATATGTGGTTTTTCAGACAATTTCTGATTATGGTTCTTGTGATCAGACCACAGGGTATTTGGAAAACGTAGTCAGCAAAACTAAAAGCAAATGACTGACCCAATAATAATACCAATCTAGAGGGCCCAAATAATGCATAGATCAGCTCTGCAATATTACAGCTTGTATTCAGTGGTGGAACAAATGTAACACATCATTTTCAATTGTGCACAGTGTTCTCCATGTTGAAGGGAAAACATGTTAAGTATCATGTTATAATGGTAATGGGATCCTGCAATGCCTGACATAATTTGTCTTCTCCTATTCTGGCATAACAAACTGATTTTTTGTTTCCTCAAATATGCCACCCTGTGCCACATAAGAGTAATCTTAAGAAATGAAAAGTGATTTGGAGAGAGCAGCGAGCAGGCGGCCGAGTTTCTCACGGCTGAGGCCTGTTTCAGTCTGAAGGGAAACACTTTCCTCCACCCATACTTAGTGACTTATTTTTAACCGTTGACCCAAAGCATCTCTTTTCCACAAGCCAAACACAATCCATTTCAAAACAAAAAAGGACCTCATTAAGACCTAAAAAAGGGCTTATTTTTATATAGCAACTACACCAAAAATAAAACAGTTAAACGCTGTATTTAAACAACAGGTCATACGGGGAAACCTCTTTAAAGTATTTTGCACAAAATTGGTCACAAGTTGTACATTTTAAATAAACCTAGGCACAGAAAGTCTTATACATGTTTGAGCTGAGACATTTAACCTAGACGTGCTTAAAAAAACCTTCACATTGCTTTTGTAAGCTCATTACTAACCCACCTTCAGATAATAGACCATTTGAATGTGGTGATGCCATTGGCCCATGAACATTTCTTACTTGTTATCAAACTATTTCATAACTGCAACAAGAGGCATTTCAATCCTGTCTTCATGTTAAAACAGCTATCATAACATTATTTATCAACATGTGGCACTTTTGGGTTCTCGGAAGCTATAGAAATTAAAAATGTAAAACAGGAAGTACGCCGGGACCATTGTTGTTGTTTACATCCCTCAAAATGGTCTATAGTACAGGGTTTTTATTTTGGTAATTTTTTTCTATAATACAGTTCCATAAATATTTGGACATAGACATAATTCTACCATTTTTGGCTCTGTACACCAACACAATGAATTTGAAATTAAAAACGATGTGCTTTACCTGCAGACTGAAATTTTTGTATTTACTGTACATCCAGATCAAGTGAATGCTGTAGGAATTACAACTGTTTGCATATGTGCCATCCAATTGTTAAGTGTCCAAAAGTAAACCATTGTGTTATTGTATAAAGCACAAAAAGAATTGTGTCCAAATATTTATGGATCTAACTGTATTTGTACAGTATATTGCATTTGTTTTGTCTAAAGCCTGTGGAGAAGCATTTGCTGAACAAAAAGTGGATTTCACTTCAAATGCAAAAACACAGAAAAGCTTTCATGAATTGTCATGTGTTTTGGTTTCCAAAAGGCTAAAGATGCTCTCAGTTTGAGCAAACAAGTAACAGGGTCTCTGGATAACGCGTGGTTGTGGAGAATTTATGTAACTGAGGAGTATCCGGTTCTCTGTAAAAGCCATCCAAAGACTTAAATAATGAAATCCAGTTTGTCAAAATTAATCTCTCTAAGAGGAATAGCTGACCCCAAAAAATAAAAACCGCTGGTTCAGCCTTGCATTGCTCCAGAATTGTTTTCTGTAGATGGCTAATAGTGTTTGCTTTACTTCATGAAGTTTGTAAAAGTGATTTGATTCTATTTCTAAGACTTTCACTTTAATGTGTGAATATTTAAATGATTTTTTAAAAGACGAGACAAAAAAAAAAAAACTACTTTATTTATTTTTTATCATGAAAATGATTCTGAGGTAAAGAAATTTTTATTGAAAAATTACTAAAATGTTTCTCACCTCACATCACATATTAAGCTATTATTTTACGACAAAAGACTATAACATAAATACATGTCACAAGGGTACAGCAGTCCTGGGGAAAGTTACTTTTTAAAGTAGTGCATTACAATATCGAGTTACTCCCAGCAAAAAAGTAAATTATTGCGTTACTTTGTTACTTTTTATGGTAAGTAATGCGTCACGTTACTTTTGAGTTACTTTTGTGTTACTTTCCCTTACCTGGCTGAGGTTTGATCTCTTTCAGAATTTGCAGGTGTTTTTGCACCTTTTTTATAGAGAAGCTCTGCATTTAAAAACCACCTATATAACATAAACCTACAATTTCCGTTAAATAATGTAGGATATACATGCTGTTTATACAGATTAATGAAAGCATGTAAAGTAATGTGTTTGCTATATTTGTACATTTGTATTATTAGTTAAGTAATTTCCTTTTCTATTAAGATAAAGATTGCAATAAAGCCTAAGAGTGGGCTACAAACATGAAATAATTTACATTAAAACAGATTTTAATCCTTTAAATGTTTAACAAAATGAACAGTTAGACGATAAAAAAAACATCTCCAAATAAAAACTAATTTTTGAGCTTTATACATAGAATAAATTACTTAATGTGGCTCTAACAAATGTGTAAATCATTTCCCAGAAGAGAAAAAAATCTTTCTTTAACAATAAAAGCAGTAATCATATTTTATAGTTATTGTTGTACCTGAAGAACGTGAACTGATGACAATTATTTGTTGTCTTTGCATCTAGTTTATATCAAATAAAATTTTATATAAAATAAAAATTTGATTTTACCCGAACCTCCTAAGTGAACCGGTCAAACTAGTTCATTAAATTGAACTTGAGTTAAATTGAGCTGTCGTGAAACTGTTTGCTTCTTCAATACTTACATACCGGATACTCCCTCTGACTCACAATAAACCAATATCCTGAGTTATTTAATTAGTAGAACAGTACACTGACTCATCTATTTTGAAAAAAAGAGACCTGATGCATGCAAGCTGACTGTCTGTTCCCTCGCAGCACACTCTCTCATTGAGTATGCCATTAAATCTGACTAAGATCATTTTTAATGCGCAATATATTTCTTAAAAGCCAATTAAGCAAGCTAAAAAGTACCTTGTGTTACATTTTTTAAAATGCAATTTAAATAATATTACTTATCTTTAAAAGTGATGCGTTACTTTACTCGTTACTTTGAAAAAAGTATTATTATTACGCAATGCATGTTACTTATAACGCGTTACCCCCAACACTGGTGTACAGACCACATTTTTTGGGTGCTTAAAATGCACTGTAAAGTTCTAGAAGAAAGCAAGCTATTGTATTCTTCATATCACTCCTTGGCATTTCATAAAAGAAAGCAATAAAGGTTTTGAACAACATGATCGTGAATAAATGTTGACATTATTTAATACGGATTAAATATAGAAAGAATTACGAAAGGTCAGATTGCAAACACACCTCTTTTTTGAAGTGTAACATCTTTCATCCCCAATGGACAATTGTATTGTGGTGAAGGATTTTTGAGGATAAGACTGAGGTGTGTGTGTGTGTGTGTGTGTGAAAGAACTCAACACTGACCCGTGAGTCGTACTCCAGGACAAAAGGAGGGATGTCGATCTGTTCAGGCAGGACGCAGGTGAAGAGCTGCTGCAGGTTTTCTATGTGATGGACTTTGTCTTTAAGGCCTGATACGCTGAATGTAGTGAAGAACCATGTAGAGACCTAACGGGAGTCACAAAGAAAAAATATAGAGGGAAAATGAAATAAAACAGTAAATGTAGAAATAGCTCTTGAAACATTTGAAGTGATAGTTCACCTCGCAGAACTTATCATTTACTCATTATTTACTCTCATGTGGTTCCAAATTTTATGATTTTCTTTCCTCTGTTAAACGGTAAAGATATTTGAAGGAAGCTAAAAACCATGAGCATTGATTTCCGAAAAAAGAAAAACAAACAGTGTGGAAGTTAATGGTTATAATATTTTTCAGAAGATCTTCTTTTGTGTTCAATAAAAAAAAGTTTAGAACAAGCCAAGAGTGAGTAAATAATGACAGAAATTTTATTTTCATTTAATAATTCATTTAATACAGGTTTTACACCCTTTTTTTTTTTTAAACAAATGCACATTAGATCAATTCTGAACAACATTGTAATGTTGCATGCTGTCTTAATGCAATGTTTTAAACTGTTAAAATGTGAAACAATGGGTGAAACCATGTTCTTTTGAAAGATATATTTGTGCAGAATAAATAAGTGATAATACAACAAATTTTAACTCTTAATCACTCGTCAGCTTATTCCCTTCTTTACCAATTTATTTTTTGTTTTAAATGATTCTCATGTCCTTACAAACACTTTTCACACGTCTTTTTTTTTTTAAATCAATATATGAATTATTTTCATATCAACAATATACAGAATCATTTTAGTATACATGTAAACGTTCTTTTCTAACCACCCTCCCCCTCATTCCCACCCTCACAAGACAGAACACTTAAATGGGCATAATTGTGAGACATCTTGCTGATGTGTAAAATAAAAGGAAATAAACAAGTAAACAACGATGACAAATAAAAGATCAAGTCATTCTTTTACATCATTATTTTAAGTCAATGTAACATACAAGTTATTGATGTATTCAATGAATGTGCCCCAAATCTTGTTGATTTATTTTTTTAAAATTAAAGATTATTTGTTTTAACAGGAACATAAGAAAGTTCTCTAAGCCACACAATATGACTTGGTGGTTCTGCTGATTTCCATTGTATTGTATAGCAATGCAATTCTTTGCTGCTTTTAGAGCCATTTTAATTAAAGTTCAAAACAACAGCGTTTATTAAAAAATTAATCTTTGCAGCTATAAAATCAATCATTTACCCAACACAAGGTATTTACTTTAACTCTAAAGGAAAACAACATTTCATTCAAAGCTCTGAAGCTCCTTAATAATTTGCAGCGTTTTCTCCAATGACGCACCTTTAATGCTTGAACACGTTTCACACCTGGGACTGTTACAATGCTCTAGCATTCTCTGACTGAAATGGATGCATTATAAAATGAACAATTATGTGACGCTTAATTGCCGGGGTTCCTCTACATTTGGAGCGCACAAAGCATAATTGTCGAATAATTTTGCAAATGAAAGCAAAGCCTGGCAGAGGCAACATGCTCTCGTAAGCACTTCAATTACCTGAATAGGTTCTGTGGAACACTTTGGAACAGTAAGTGCGGGCACATCATGAATCTCAATGCGGTTTCAGAGATGCTTTTCAACATATTCAGTTACAGAGACGCAAAAACAGTCAATGCGAAACATGTGGAGCAGACCGCCATGAATCAGAACACAGGCCCTCATGAGCTCGGAAAGAAAAGCATCTAGCACTGCCTTTAATGGACTTACATCTAAGTTGATGAACTGATTACATTTACCTTGGAGCGGAACGTTGGGTGAACGAAGTAGAAAGCCCTCAGGTTTTTCTTAAACCTTGAAACACAAAGGAAAATCTGATTTTAGAAACATTATCAACACATTCAGCCAATTACTTAAAACCCAAATAGCGAATTCCTGTGGCGCACTGAGCTTTGAAAGGATTATTGCCTTAACAAAAACAATAAACCCATTAGGACAAGAGCTAAAGCAGTTTTTAAGAACTAGGAAAAGTCGGTGAATGGCGTCCAGCAGAGCAGCCGCATCCAAGCCGCTCACTGTCATCCAAAACACACAGATGGATAGAGATATGGACAGCCAGAAGTGGAGGGGTGTTCGAAAAGTGTTGAGGATGTGTCCGTCAACCTTTCCCCTTTCCCACGATGGATTCGTCCCACCCTGTCCAAGCCCATGAGCAGGGGTCATAGAGACTGATAGCATCACTGGCTAGCTCAGCTGTAAAGATGGCGGTGATCACTAACTGAAATACCACAGAGACTCGATGTTCTTGCTCAGGATCATGTCTGTAAAAGGCTTTCTTAAAGAACAATGTTGTGTAAGGATGAATAACACAATGATCATCTCCCCTGCTTCACTGATGCCTCATAATAAATGACACGAGTCAATTGGCCTGGCTCTTGATGTTATGAGTCACGCTGATCTCCACGATGTGCGGAAAGTGTGAGGGACTAAAGCTGGAGAGAGTTTCTGCTTTTTATTTCAAGACTGTGGTTTCGTCTGCCTGCATGCTGTGAGTGTCCCTCAAAAAAAGAAAAAGAGATGAATGCCTGACCTCACTATCACCTCCCAGGGTTTTGACTTTCAACAAAGACTCAAACTCTCGACTAAGCCAGGAAAAAGTCTTTTCGATTAAAGGAACATTAGTTTTGTTAGCACACAACAGCATTGAGGACTCCGTGGTGATATCTTCATGCAGGTGTTTGTAGGCCTCTGCGGTGGCATGCTTGCTGATTTTGAACTGGTTAGAGGAGAGGAGAACATCGAGACCTTAGGTTTACAAGGTGTCAAAACCATTGCAATTTCTATGTGTTCTAGCCTTGATAACCAAAACCCCACATCAGAATTTCCCAAAGTGCTGCTTGAGATGAAAGTAAAATTATTTCACTTCGCTAGGAGCCAATGGCCACAGATCTTTTGTTCTTGATTCAACACAAGAGATCACACTGTTTTGACTGTATTTGCATGATCAACTATTCCCATGACCTATTTGGGTGATTAGCCATGAAACTGCAAAGCAAATGTTTTATTTTAAATACATTTAAATTGCTTTTATCACTAAAGTGAATTTTGGATCAATTCTCTGTCCACACAACATGCTCCTCAGCAAAGGTTGGTTTCACATTTTTATTATTTCTGCTGCTGAAAAGTTTGGTCATTGTGGGATTTCAGCCTAAATGTTTTTTCAAATATCGAGACACTATGCAAAGATAAACAAAACCTTATACATTTCAGAGCTGAACAGGTGAGCAAAAGCAGCTACAGTGTTGATATTTTTGTCCATTAAGATTCTCTGCAAAAGACTGATTTTACGTGACTGCCATTTTAATAGCATAAGTGAGGCTGTGGTGGAAAGAAAGACGGAAGTATCGCCTGGAGTCACACAGGAACGGCGTCCACGATGGCGTATTGTGTACCTGGCTGTATTTCTCATCAGCGAAAGGAAAGGGACACAAATTTATTATTTCACTGTTTTCCGAGTGACCTAAGGGTCCGTTCGGAATAGATAGTGGGGAAAAAGGGATATCGGACCTCATTTTCATTTAAGGTAAAGGAAATGGCACTAGATAGCTAATGTTTTCTTTCCCAAACACACGTTTCAGATGCCATTTATCAACTCAAGTTAATTAACTGATTCTTTTACTAAATCAAACTTGTCACAATACTGAATTTTGGCACCAATTGGTATTGAAAAAAATTAATTCATGATTGTGCTAACAATTGAGTGTGTTCTTAAACACAGCTGATTTACTATAGTATTCACCAGTTCTCAACAAAAATGACTGTGATTGACCGTGAAGGTCATCAGTTCACCAGACTTCATCAAGTGCATACGAGCGATCCGCTGATGGATGATCTTCACGGCTTTAAAATGCTCCAGTGTCTATGCATTTATGTTTGCACTCAGTGAAAAGCGGTGAACTGGTGACCTTCGTGGCCAATCACAGTCATTTTTGTTGAGAACGTGCTCAACAGCGCTTAAATGGCAGTAGGACATTTTTTTTGGGAATAATTTAGGAAATGGTAGAATTTAAAACATCACTACCGATTGGTACCGAAATTCCAGTATCTATTACAGACAACACAGGGGTGTGCTCCAAACATTTAAAACAGGACTGCATTGTTTTATCGCTCACTGGGTTACATAGGCTGAAGCAGGGAAGCGTCTCCACAGTGTTTACCTGGTGCCAAGAACTGTTGCCTAGGAGGACACTTAAGCGTATTACTCTTGAAGAGATTATGATTTTGTTTGATGCCTAATATGCTTTTAATTGTTTAAATTAAACTCAACTGAATGATATTAAAGGGATGTGTACACCACATCTTTGAAATCGTAGCAACAGCTGGAGGTTTGTAGTCGACGGCATGTTTTTGCAATGATGAGTGCTGGTCCTCTATATCCAGGTTTCTTCCCACTGCAGCCTTGCTTTAATTTTTAAATTGGCAGCCACATGAAATAAGCATATATCCTATCCTCTCATGAATTTGTCCGCCTAGGATGACCAATGTTTTTTTGGGGACTTCAAGTAAGATTTAATATTTTAGAAATCACAGATTTGGAAAGACCAACTTCTCTTGCTCCTGGTAAGTCTGAAAGACTCATCAATTTGGCCTTCATCTGGTCAACCTGCTGTTGGGTTTCAGTTACTTCCGAGTGGCTCACCAACTTGCAAATTGGTGAAAACTGACAATTTGGGCGGCCAGTAACACGGTTACAAAAACGTTTGTCAGATAACGAAGAAATCTACCACTACTTTAAAAAAAGGAAGTACTCGCTCTAAACCTAATTGGCATTCCTTTTCAAATACCTTGTTTAAAGGGATAGTTCATAAACAATGAAAATTCTGTCATCCGTTATTCATCCTACTTGTCCAAAACCTGTTTGAGTTTCTTTTGTTGAACACAAAGGCAGATATTCTGAAGAACAAAAAAAGCCAACTTTCACAGTATTTTGTGTAGAAGCCAACGGTTGTTTTTACCCCCAACATTCCTCAGCATTTCTTGTTTTGTGTTCAAGAGAAGAAGAAAAAACACCTAAAAATGTAAAATAGCTTGAGTGTGATTAAATGATGAGGAACTATTCATTAAAGGGGTCATAAACTGAGAAACAAAAATTCCCTTAATATTTTGAAATAAGACATCACAGTATTATAAAAACATCTAGCAAGTTCTGGAGCTTGAAAAAGAAGCTTGTTACTCTAAAAACAGCTCTGTTACTTTTGTTACTCTGCGGAGCTTGATACTCTAAAAACAGCTTATGGACATTGAAGGCAATCCAAATGACAGGAAATAGAATGTTCTACTCCATGATGTAATAAAGTGGAAAAGCCCCACCTCCGCAGAAGATCGACGCCTACTTCTACTCCACTGCCTGTTCCGCATTGTTTACATGCAAAGCCAAATCACACAGTGGCAGTTGATTTTTGAGTCTACAGCCTGCCACACACATTCAAACAGAGCATTCTGATAAAAGGTCAAAGACAACACAAAGAAATGGACCAATTATTTCAATGTTTTTTGATGTTAATATCTTGCTAACATTATCAAAAAACAAATTAGTTCATGGTTATGGTAGTTTAAGTTTTTTCATTCGTTTATTTTCATTAATTTTCTTGTCGGCTTATTCCCTTTATTGATCCAGGGTCGCCACAGCGGAATGAACTGCCAACTCATCCAGCACATTTTTACGCAGCGGATTCCCTCCCAGCCACAACCCATCTCTGGGAGATTTCCACACACACCTACTGCGCCACTGCGTCACCTACTCAAGTTTTTTATAATGTGAAATATGCTTAAAAAAGATTTTATTTTTAAATTTACTTAAATTAGGTCTAAGCAGAGACTTAAGACATTTTGTAAAAGGTAAATTCTCCTTAAGAGACACGAAAAACAAATACAAAATACAATCAGGATCACTCATCAATAGTCAGCTGGCTGTTAAAAAAAAAATACACTGCTCGGTCACACTTTTTTTGATGGCGCATTTGTTACATTTAAATTACATTGCATCTACATGCCAATTAATTCTCATTAGATTATAAGTTGACTGTTAGGTTGGGGTTAGGGTTAGTGTAAGTTGACATGTTCATGCAAAGTTTCTTATAGTCAGTTCAATGTCTGTTGAAGGAGCAGTATCAACATATTAAGCAGACTCAAATGGAGCATCAAAATAAAGTGTTACCCACCGTTCATATAGTGATCAATTCTTTTTGTGTTTGGTGTGAAAGAACAATTCGCCTGCAATTCGCCAAATTACTCAGAGTGAAAACGCATTAGTGTGATAGAGGTAAACCAGAGGAAACATGACTCAGCCGTGATTTACATCGAACGGTGCTTTCCAAACTTGTCAAAACCCACAAAAGGATCAAACTTCTGTGAATAATCTTCATGACATTCGAAGAACAGAATGCCCAAAACAAAGACGTTTGTTACACCATGTCCTGCGCGTTTGGGTTTGAGGAGACAGACAGTGTGCTGTTCCGCACTAGAAGCTCATAAAAAACCTACAGTCACCAAACCAGCATTTATATGAAACTGTGATTAGCTTTTCCATGTCTGGGAGTTATGGTTTTAAAGAAAATCTTCACCAAGAACTGGGTCAAGTCATCTCGCAAACATTGTAAGGTCATACAGAGCAGGACATGTGGGTGGTTTGTAGTATCTCTGTAAAGGGACAGAAATAGATCTTACTTGGCGTCCACAATGTCATAGAGCTTCTTGAGAAAGTCTGTGTCCAGGTGGTTGTGTTCACCGGTGAGCGTGTGGAAATACACCATCACATACTCCTTCACTGTTATGTGGTCCATCACATGGATGAAATACAGCAAAGCCTAGCACACAAACACACCATTATTCAGGTATTTAAATAAAAATAAAAAAATACAGGCTTCTATACTTCACTTCCTGGCACGAATAAAACACAAAATAATACACATAGCATCTACAGATAAAGCAAATCATTGCAAAATAGTACTATTTGGGATGGCACTATATAATTTTTTTTCAGTTTTACAGATTTTGTTAAGCAATAATGAAAATTCCATTATCATTTACTCAGCTGCACATCTCTAAATAACTTTTTTGTTTTCCAAAGAAAGCCACACGGGTTTGTTAAGACAACACAACCTGACAAACGTCTTATCGTCGATCCCTGTTGAAAGAGCAACAAATAATAACTTGTCTTCAAGTTGATCATTTGAAAAAGTGGCAGAAGGTCAATTTTTCAGATGAATCATCTGTTGAACTGCATCCCAATCATCACAAATACTGCAGAGGACTTATTGACACCCGCATGGACCCAAGATTCTCACAGAAACTGTAAAGTTTGGTGAAGGAAAAATCATGGTTTGGGGTTACATTCAGTATGGGGGCATGAAAGAAATCTGGATGAAGAAATCTGCATGAAAGAAAAGTGGATGGCAAAAAAAAAAAATTAAAAAATGGATGGTAACATCAACAGCCTGAGGTATCAAGATGTTTGTGCTGCCTATTATAAACCACAGGAGAGGGCATATTCTTCAGCAGGATAGCGCTCCTTCTCATACGTCAGCCTCCACATCAAAGTTCCTAAAAGCAAAGAAGGTCAAGGTGCTCCAGGATTGGCCAGCCCAGTCACCAGACATGAACATTATTGATTCTGGGAGTCCTGCAAGAACGCTTTCTTTGCCATTCCAGATGACTTTATTAATAAGTTATTTGGGTCATGCAGAGATGTTTGGATGCAGTCCTGCAAGCTCATGAGAGTCATACAGATATTAATTCTTTTTTCACTGCACCATGACTTTATATGCTATACTGTACATTATTTCTGTTAAGTGACAAGACTTTTGTCTAGGCAAAGTCAAATCTTACGGTCCTAATTAAATAATTAAAAATCAAGGCATGAACATATTTTATTTTAGCAAAATAAGTGTAATCTAGAGGCCTTTGCCTTTCATATAAGCCACTTCTGATACCAAATTATCAACTAGAAGTCAAGTTATTATTTGTTGTTCCTAAAGACTTTTGTCAGGTAGTGTATACAAATAAACAATGAAAGGAATTTCAGTTTTGAATGAATTAATGCTTTAATAAATATTTTAATCAGTCACAATTTCCAAATTGTCATTAACAGTGAAACAACGAACCCCTTAAAAAGTAATAAATAAAACTGTGTTTTTTTATTAAAGAATAAACATTTCAATCAAAGTTTACATTCATACCTTGTAACAAAGATTCTATGACATAATCAGTTTTATGAAAAACCATTTAAATGATTATTTATCTAAAAAATTTAAATTTGCTGTTCATTTACTGCTCCTCAGGCCCTTCGAGATGTAATATGTTACTTTTCCTCAATAGAAAATTGAAAAAAAAAAAGGTTTTAACCATCCTCCTTGGTGATTAGTCTAAGGTCTCCAGGACTTTGATAGTAAAAAAAAAAAAAAAAAAAAAAAACATTTAAAGATTTTATAAAGCAAAATAAATCGGTCTGTGCAACTTGGAAACTAAACATTATTTATAGCATCACTACATTTAATCCATGGCTCAACAAAAAGTGTGAACAATGTTCAGTTTCTTGCATAGACTGATTGAAAAATATTTTTTTATTTTGCCTATATTCAGTTTGCTGTTATTAAATTCAATTAAACATCACAATGTGCATAATTGGTGTCAGCTAAAAAATGTCTTTAAAATTCCCACGAACCAGAAGCTGTTTTTTTCAGATTGTGACAGTTCCTAGAGAAACAGAAGATGTGCAAACAGGAGGCATAGACGTTTTTTTCTGCTGCGAGCTGAATGGATGTAGTAAAGTTCATTCAGAAAGACTGGGAAATGTGTTTTGGGAGTTATTACAACCTAACAGACACCTCCTCCTCACCATTAGTGTTTGTTGTCAAAACTGAAATGTGGAGCAGCGTGGTTAAGTATGTTAGCCATGTCTAATACCTCAAAACACGCAATCTGAGAATATAACAAAAAAAAACAGGAAGTGCTTTTTATTTAGATTTTAATTTTAGAGTACAAAAGCAAACTTTTTTTCTTAATGACATGCACAGATGAATTGTTCACTACAAAACTGGCAATGTGATCTAACAAAATCTTATGGTTAGTCTCGATTTCATGTGCACTTTAATGTTTTAATGTGAAAATAAAGTCACCTACTTGGCCTGATAAAGAGTAAATTAACAGCAAACTCTTGCTTTTGGGTGAAAAAAAAATTATTTAAATTATTTAGCTTTTTATCATATTAGGCAACACTTGTCGCTAAATCTGTTGAAACAGAGTGTATGAGTGATTTCTCTTTTACCTTCTCCATGTCAATAAGCGTCACTGGAATATTCCTGCCAACTACAACCATGACTGTCCTACCGCACAGATCGACACCTGAAAATGAGAGAGAGAGAAAAAGATACAACTATATTACGAAAGGATGATTCCTCACATTCACTCAGACCCTAATATGGGCAAAAGATCACATTCCCTCAGTGAAAGCATTCGCATGTGCAGCAAATCTGAGAATCATGTTACACGTTTCAGCCTCACCCTGTTTAATGGACTCATCTTGCAGAACTGCAAGAGTTATGCATATATATATATTGAAATGCATGTTTATGCATCATATTATGAGAAACATCTGCACATGCATGGCCAAATGGTTTTATAAAGCCCATCCTCATGTGGACAGTGAACATGTATGTGTTGAAGTGTACAGCTGGATAAAGTCTGCCCCCATTTGGTCAACAGAGTCAGTGTGATTTAGTTTTATGAAAAGTATGGTTGGGTGCTTTTTAGGAAAAAAATACAAAATTAATTTAGCAGGACTAATAGCTTCTGGCTAACTGTAATAAAATGACATGATGTTTAAACTCAGTGGGTTAGCTTTGACAGCAATTTTAAAATGAAGATAAATTCTTATCGACACAGAAACTGTTACTTTGGTGGCTATTTTTTATCCTGAAATTGAGAAACGAGAGAAATGGATTACAGAACCCCCCGATGTTGAGCTCAATGAGGCGGAACAAAGGTTTCCTGCCCAGAGAGCAAACACACAGATGGAGAGAACACAAAGTCCACATGTGCAGAAAGATATACAGAGAGAAACAGCAACACAAAGAGAACATGTGCGAGATAAAAACAGGCAAACAATTGACAGTATCATACTGCTACAGTAACTTTAACATGCATAGACTAAGAGCTGTAGAGTTAAATATTTTTTCATCACATTAATTGATATGCCAGATAATTCAATTAACTTCTGTCAAATTAAAAACGATTTGAAATATTTAAAAAAAAATTAATAAAATTAAACTCTGCATGAACATCAACATTTTTGAAAATTTGCCTTGCATTAAAAGAAACCCACTCAGAATTAATGAGGCAGTGTTGTTTTAGTACTATAGGAGTGTTTATAGTTTCAATTCATTTTTGGAAGTTTGAATACATTTTCTGTATACATTGTGATGATTTGATGACTCATTTTTGATCTTTGGTCTTTATATTATTTACATATTTTTTGTAACTAAATCTAAACTAAATGAGTTCCAAAATATTTTATATAATATATATTGTATATTTTTAAAGATCTTTATATATTTAATTTTATAGTGATTAATAGTTAATAAAATATAAATATAATACTTTTATTCTGTTTTTTTATTCAATTTGATATGTATAGCACATTTAAAAATAACCATTGTTAACCAAAGTGCTTCACAGTGTCAGAAAACGTAAAAAAATATATATATATATAAACATAGCATCGTATTGCAAATCTTAAATCGAAGTGAATGATAAAGTATACATGCATGTCTTAAGCATTGATTAAAAAAGATCAACAGTTTGATCACTTTTTATAAAAGTGGTCAAGCTGTTCCATAAATTTTGAGCGGTGACAGAAAAGGCTTAGTCACCTTTATTTTTTAACCTCATCCTCGGAACATCTAGGACAGGGGTCCCCAAAGTTTTTCCTATAACAGGCCAAAAACCAAGTTTGATTGAGGACTGTGGGCCAAACCAAATTACAATAAATTTGCCAAAGAGAATTTCCTAAGGATGCTGCTTTAAATCATATTAACTAACGTATTATCATTTTTATCATTTTAGACTGAACTTATTACATTAAAACCCATTCCATTTTTAACACAAAGGAGTTCAATGCAGAATACAATAGACAACCTGCTCCTGCCTTCACCTTGATTTGCTCACAGATGACTTGTGCATCTGTCAACTGACAGTATTTACATGTTAAAAGTCTGATTCATGTACAACATTCTATTGAATCATCTAATTTCAGTTGCCTTTTTTGTAGCTCAGTGAGAAAACAAAAAAACAAAAGGTTGCGTTTAATTCAAAATGATAATCTCTGTCAAAAGCATTTGCCCCAACCTATCATTAGGCATTGGATGATAACCGTTTTCAAGGTATATCGCGGTTTGGAAAAGTCAAGGTTTTTAAACAGTCAAAGATTTGTGCAATAGCATTCCTACGGTATGTGTACAATTTTTTGTTTAATTTTTAACATTTTTGTTTTGTTATTTAGGACAACAGTATCTCCAGCAGAAAAGATCTCTATAGATGCAGTTTTAAATTGTAAAAAAAAAAATTGTTTTTGAAACAAATTAAAACAGCAGAAGTCAATAATTCATTAAGCCTGAGATGTTTACTATTGCAAAATATTTAAATGTTTCTCAAAATAAAATACACTGTTCAAAAGAAAAAAAAGTTTTTGTTTTTTACCCAGACATTTAAAAAGAATGTATTTCAGAGCAGTAATCACAATATCAGGAAACTGTGAAATCATAATATCTTTATCCAAGGTTATCATACCGTCAGAATCTTATACTGGCCTATGTCTACCTATCATTCTCCCTTTCTTTCCGGATGGGATGGTGGGCCAAATCAAAGGTTACCATGGGAAAAAAGACAGACAGACAGACAGACAGAGAGAGAGACAGAGAGAGACAGAGAGAGACAGAGAGAGACAGAGACAGAGACAGAGACTGACCGGTCTGATATAATGCCTTCAACGCTGCTATGTCTGAGAGGTCCTCTGCACGAGCTTTGCAAAGCCAGCGGTTATAGCTGTAAAAACAAAAAAGAAACCACATCTAACCAATTTATGACAATGTAAATAATCTGATATGAAGTGGATTTCTGGGAAAAGATACAAACAAACATGCACACTTGAAGTACGCAGTTCTACAGTATAAACATGTCTGTAATCAATAATTTTGAGTATGAATGAAATCATAACATAAAAATTTTCTTAGCAAATATACGGCTAAATATGGCTGACAGCTGTTAGGATGCTGCTAAGTTTCCAGTGTCTTAAATATTTGTTATGATAACCAAAGTTTTAAAATGGGTGGTAGTAAAGTAAAACTGCTGTTACTTATTAAAAAAACAGTTGTGATAGTCTCCTCTTCCAATTTGTGTCATATATCGGAGTGAATCTGCTTCTTAAGCTAGAAAATATGTAGGCCAGACCTTGGATTTGTCTAACAGTAATTGATTGTATGGTTGAATGGTTGTGGTTTGCTATTGGCAGACCTCATCATGAGTGACAGATTGTCTCATCTTTTCACCCATGAACGCCATCAGAGAAGAGATGTCATTGAGAGTTGAAGGAAAATGTTTTGGTTAAAGCTTCTATGGGCGCATGAATTTATAATAAAAAGTAATGATGTGCAACTGATGAATTATTTATAATAACTCTATGATTCCAAGTAAATCCAAAATATGATGGGATGAAGGCTCTGTAGGTTTCTTAGGAATTCTGACCAATATTCTATCATAGGAGTAAATTCATTAAATAATTATTTACATTACAGTATAGTAATGCATAATTTTTTAGATAATGTAGTAGGGTAAAAACGAAATACCGCCTTTTCTTTAATTGTAATGTTCACATATCTTATTTTAATTTTATTTGACAAATACAAAGTAAAATACACAATTCTACTCATAAAATAAATACAAGTCTGATATAAGTGCAAAAAAGAGGGGTTTCATTTTAATATTTGCCACATTACACCACCCAAAACGTAATGTAGAAAGATGATATCAATTTACAATGACTGTACAGCAGAGTCAACAACTACAATACTCTGGAAGAACCTACCAAAGTAAATATTTGCAGGTGGTTTCATTTAAAAAATGTTGTAGGTGTAAAAGGCAACAGTATGATATAACCCTACAGGCAAAATACACATTTAACAGACATCTAATAGACGTCTAAACATAGACGTCTTGGCTAAAACCAGGCTAAAATCAGAGAACATTTAATAGATGTCTATTAGAACAGCCCAAAACTAGACTAGTCATTAAAAACACAGATTAGACAGAATTCAAGTGTGCATTCATTCATTTCTGTATGTTTAATGGCTAGTTTAATTATGGGCTATTCTAAGTCTATGCCTATTAGAGCTTCACTGACAGCCCGAGTTTGGCTTTGTTTTAGCCAAGACGTCTATGATAAGATGTCTACTAGACTTCTTTTAAAGAAATGCTTGCTGGGAACTAAGCATCTTACTTTCTTTGGTGTTGTTTCTGCTGGGCTACTTCAGACATCTGCCCCTGAAGGATGAGTTTCCGTTGCTTATCCACATCTCCTTCCATACGAGCAAAGGCATGACTTCCGACCAGTCCCAGATCCGAGTCTAGTGAATCATCCTCTGGGTCATCTGCAGAATATTGGCTCAAGATTAATATTACATGCTTATTAGCATGCATTAGTGCACTACATTAAGAGTTCTGGATATTACAAGAAAAACAAATCCAACATGTCATAAAAGTTCACTGAAGCACAAATTCTTTGGCCATGATGAACGTCAAGATATACTCTCACACATTTGGAATGAACATTACCAGGTTCAGCGAGCGCTACAATATGGTACAAATGTGGTCCACTCCACCAGACGTGACCTCCCACCCTCAACCAGAGCTGGGAACGCCAGTGGTGTGTGTGATGTACGGCCAGGCAAAGCGCACAAATAATCCTCATCTGTTAATCTTGTTTACATGCATATGCCAGATCTCGATTACGGGCCAACCTTCGCCATATCCAAACAGACATGAAAAGAAAGTCCAGTCTTAACAGCAAACACAACTTTTCTCATTTCCTCAGCTCAACTACATGGTCACAGGTCAGTCTGTGAAATATGTAGCCTGAAATGAAAGAAACACTAACAGGTAAATAGGAGGATGATAGCTGCTAGCAAACCTAGGCTGAGACATCGAGATTCAATTAAATGCAGATGCATCCTGAAAGATATCAGTCCAAAAAACATTACAGCATGTTGAAGCAAAGAATAAGATTTTGTTTTTTGCAATGCAACATAACATATGGTCATTTTATGATAGGCCTTTTATGAATGGACATTATCAATGGTTGCTCTGTCTAATAAGGCTTTTAGCTGTTTGGATTTTGAGAATTGGAATTTATCACATCATGACATTCAATTTTATGAAAGGCTGTTTATGTAATAATCCCAACTTGTAAAGAATAAAAAGAATTAAATCCAAATATATTTATAGAATAGAAAATGAATGACAGAACAATAAAAGGTACAATGTAAATAAACTTAATAAACTTCATTTAGTGTAAAATGCAGCTGCCATAGTTACCAGGTCTAGAAAATATGATCATATCACTCCAATTTTATCTTCCTTATACTGGCTGCTTGTTATGTTCAATATTGATTCTAAAATATCGCTCCTTACCTATAAAGCTTTAAATAATCTAGCTTCTGTTTATCTAACCAACCTTATGACGCGCAACAATCCAATCCGTTCTTTAAGATCTCAACACACAGGGCTTCAGTTAGTACTCAGAATAGCAAAGTCTACTAAAGGAGGTCGAGCCTTCTCATTTATGGCTCCTAAATTCATACATACAATGCATCGTATAACAGTATGATGCATGAGTGTGCTCCTTGCAGGTGAGTGGCCTTGACAATCACCTGTAAGACACAGTTCTCTTGTCGTAATGCACCAGATATTTTATTAAAAATTTTTCATATAACTGCTATTTTTTATGTGTAGAACTTAATTTTGCATTGATATTTAATATTTATTTTCTTTGTTCTCTACCTGGGGATACTCATTTTGAGGCCTCTAGAGGTTGTGTAGCACCATTGCTCAAAGATCTGTGAAGAGATGATGCCAACCATAGAGGACTTCTAGAGGCATCCATAATCCTGGACCAGGCCGTATCCTGAGCAGATGCTGTGGCGGTCATGGAGAAGTGGAGAGCATGAGACTGATTCCTGAAAGACTCCAGTGACAATTGAGTCTCCGAATTGATCTCATGGGCAAGCCTGAACACCCGACGGTGACCTTCTCACACCTGTAGCTTCTCAATGATAGACATCCAGCATTCTCCAGCCAACAGTGCTCAGACTGCAGCTCTTCACAAGAAGTTTGGCCAGAGGACAAATGGTCTAGCCCAACTGAGGCTGGTTTCTTTCAAGGTTATTTCCTTAACTTTCGACAATTGGTGAAGTTTGTTCCTCAGCACTGGCTTGCTTGGTTTAAGAGCATCGATGCATTTGCTCTTCAGTGTTTAGACTTTCAACAGTGAAAATTAAAACACACTGAAATGAACTAAACTGAACTTCAACTCTGAAAACTTCACTAACAGTTTCAATTTACTAGAATTTCAATGGTGAGCTGCTTTTTAATCTACATTGTAAAAGCGGTATACAAATAAAGATGAACTGAAATGAAAATACCTTAATTTGGCCAGATTTTTTTTTAAGTATAATGTAAATGGCATAGAAAAAAAACAATAAACTGAAAAGTATCAAAACAGTACCGTTTAAATCCCTAATTTTCATATGTAAAATACACAACAGAACATATAAGATTTAAGAGAAATAAGAATGAATAACACAAAATATACAGGCAGAAAGAAATAAGAGGAACTGAAGAAAAAAGCCTGAAGGGTAAATCAGGAGAAAGTAGATTAGGCAAGTGTGTGGTTTGAGGCATGCTTTGAAACCACTACATTATAGACTAATCCACAAGAGCTGGCTGTATTAGTGAAGGCCTAGTCACCTGCTGTCTTTAATATTACTTTAAGAATAACAAGCAGACCTGCATCACATGATGAAAGGCCATGTACGAAGACAAGAGTTCGAAAAGATCAGTCAGATCAGTGACCGGGTGCAGCACTGCCGGTTTACAAACATTGAAAGAGTGCCCTTTAATGTCTTTCAGAAAGACTACATAAGAACAAACACTGCTGATCCTCATAAAAACCTGGATTATGAATCTAGCTAAACCAAAGATGGAACAAGGAACAATTCAATAAATCATAAAAAAGAGAAGTAGAATACTAAACTTTTAGACCTGCAGATTGTCTACTTCAGAGAGGACTCAACACCGAACCCTGCAGGACTACATTATTAATATTAGAAGTAAAGAGCTTACACTTTAGGTGAGAGCTCTGATCCAACTGAAACTTTATATTGTGACCATGACCTGAAATTCATTGTCCTTTTATTTCATTTGATGTACACCAAATGCAGCCATTGTTGCTTATGCCACAAGAGTTAGACACTTATGTTGAACATGACAAACATGTTATAGCCATTTTATCCTGCAAGTCGAAGTCAGAATGGCCACTTAAAATGCAGTACGAGAACAAGGTATCAGTTTATTGTCCGAGTTTGTATCAACATTGCACAACATACAATAAGACAGAATAATGATTGATTATAATGCGTTTTACTAGTTGTAGACCTCAGCGTTAAAGACAGTATTATAGTTACCAAAAATGTTTGATGGGAGAAATTAGATTCACATAGGATCACGTAGGAAATATATACAGGTCACAAGTCTAAAACACCATTTAAGTAGTGTAATTTTTCATTCAATACTTATTTGACATTCATCAGTCATTGTACATAGTTTTGACTGCCAATCAGATTACATATATTAAATGCAAACGCTACGAATATACTGTTCTATTTGTTAAAGAAACCTAACCAGCCTGAAACCGCAGGCCTGGCTCAACCAGTAATGTTGGAATTAACCCTTGTGTTTGGTTCAAATTTAGTACCCTTTCATTATGTTCGTGGCTGTTTTTGCCCTATAGACTTCCATTATAATGACATGCAAATGACACTGCAAATCCATGACAGTACATGATTATGCATTCTTGATTGTTGGTGGTTTTACCTGTTGGAAAGAGGTCACATGTGTAATTTGTACTGTTGATTATCCGTTGGCAGCATTAACCCCTTAGACAGGCCTGTGCAAAAAAATGTGGAGTTCTGTGGAGTAAAACATATTATAGTGTGTGTGTGTGTACAACTGCTCGTTAACGTAAATTTATAATCAGTCAATCACATGGCAGCAACTCAATGCATTTAGGCATGTAGACATGGTCAAGAGGAACTGCTGCAGTTAAAACCGCACATCAGAATGTGGAACAATAGAGACTTTCAACGTGACATGGTTGATGGAGCCAGACAAGCTGGTCTCAGTATTTCAGAAACTGCTGATCTACTGAGATTTTCACACACAACTATCCCTAGGGTTTACAGAGAATGGTCTGAAAATGAAAAAAATCTCCAGTGAGAGCAGTTCAGTGGGTGCAAATGCCTTGTTTATGCCAGAGCTCAGAGGAGCCAGACTGGTTCTAGCTGATAGGAAGGCGACAGTAACTCAAATAACCATTCATTACAACCGAGGTATATAGAAGAGCATCTCTGAACACACAACACGTCCAACCTTGAAGCAGATGGGCTACAGGAGCAGAAGACCACACCGGGTGCCACTCCTGTCAGCTAAGAACAGGAAAATAAAGCTACATTTGGCACAGGTTCACTAAAATTGGACTATAGAAGATTGGAAAGACGTTGCCTGGTCTGATGAGTCTCGACTACTGCTGTCACATTCGAATGGTAGGGTCAGAATTTCGAATCAACAACATGAAAGCATGAATCCAACTTGAATTGTATCAATGGTTCTGGCTGCTGGTGGTGTAAGGTGTGTGGGGATATTTTCTAGGCACACTTTGGACCCATTAGTACCAATTGAGCATTGTATCAACGCCACAGCCTACCTTGGTATTGTTGCTGACCATGTCCATCCCTTTATGACCACAGTGTACACTGATGGCTACTTCCAGCAGGATAATGCACCATGTCATAAAGTGCGAATCATGTCAGACTGGTTTCTTGAACATGACAATGAGTCTCCACAGTCACCAGATCTCAATCCAATATAGCACCTTTGGGATGTGGTGGAACGGGAGATTTGCATCATGGATGTGCAGCCGACAAATCTGCAGCAACTGCGTGTTGCTATCATGTCAATATGGACCAAAATCTCTGAGGAATATTTCCAGTACATTGCAGAATATATGCTATGAAGGATTAAGGCAGTTCTGAAGGCAAAATGTGGTCAAACCCAATACTAGTAAGGTGTACCTAATAAAATGGCCAGTAATGGCGGTTTGAAACCGATGTCCATTTGTTATCAGTTTTTCATCTATTCTCTTTAACAACACAAATGATAAAGAAAATGAACGCTTAACATTTGTGTTGTGCCACTTCAGTAAATATGGAGAGGCTAATTTAGTTAAGCGATCACATTAGTTCCGATTATGCAGTAGCTTGTTGTCACTCTCAATCGCTCAAGCAAACATCCAGAAGCAAAACTAATAAAGCTCAATACTGAGTGACCTTAACTTGGGTTGGAAATAGCTGATTTAATAGATCAGTTGGTAAAAGACCTTGGGCTCCCTTTCCATGACCTGGATTAAAGCATTGAAAGAAAGGCAGGAAAGTGCAGTGTTTATTTACATGGGACCTGACTTATGTGGCTTGTTTAACTTGGATCAACAGCTCTACTGAGACTTGATCACCTTAACACAGCTGGCGCACAGTCCACGAGATCTAGGCTTGACATAAAGGCAAGCCAACAAATATACAAGTTTAATCTCCCACTAACAAATAAATATACACATGTGCTCGGAGTGCTATGGCAAGCAAGCAAGCCAAATGGACACTCACTCTCATATAAGCATGTAAAGATCGGTGCCTACACACACATATATGTTGGTTTTGGTGGTTTATGAGGACTCTCAAACGTATAATGTATTTATTATGTAAATAATAATGATAATTATTATTATTATTATATGGCCTTACCAAACCAGTGGCAGGTAACATTACACTACAGAATGTTTCTGAGAAATAAATTTGTTACAGATGAATGCGGCCAAACATTTACTCGCATCCTTATGTTGATAAGACACCATAGCAACATCACAAAGATTAAGTAATTGCGTAAATTTCAGTGTAGTGATTGGCCAGTAGTACACAATGATGTCTTTGAGTTTTCAGCATGTCTGTGCATTAATTCATGAGAAATTCAAGTTGGTTCAAACCAATCAGCGCCCTCTATTGTGAATGAGATGCAACTTCATTAATGTGCATGAGATAGCTTCTTCTCTTTTTAGCGGTGTTCAGAGACGCACCTACCAAGTTGTGTTGCCAAACACAATTAAACCCAATAGAAGAAAAAGAATTGTTCAGAAACATGGGTGTTCTTTCCATTTCCAAGCGATTTGAGCACATTGAGCCCCATTTACCCTGATGCGTTTGTTTTAAAATGGCGTTTAAGAATGAAAGCGGTCCACAATAGCTATTCATCTAGCGTTCCCAGTTCCAAGCCAACACTACCATTTTTAATTTATTGACATCACACATTTTTTCTAGCTTTCAAAAATGGTGTACAGTACATTCTCTCAGCATCAAGGGCATCAATATTCTGTATATTACTGGTTCATCTTGCCATCTGTGGTTTCAGCATAAAAAATAAAAGGCTATTATCATGATTATATTGTAGTATTAAAGTGTATTAGTTATTTAGTAGTGCTATTTGTTGTTTTCATTTGACATTGGTGTTAGGATTTTGAAATGGCATCAGATTTATCAAATTAATTTAGATGTCTTGTAAAAAATAAACAATACTGGCCAAAACTCATTCATTTTCCTTTCAGACATAGGCAGAAAAATGTGTCCTTTTCTAACGTCCTGCTGTAACTTAAATAAAAATTAATGAGTGCAGACCAGTCTTGTAATATTTATAATAACTTGGGTCTCAGGACCTTATTTAGTTAGAAGTACATGGTCATTTGCATTCATCTGAAAAATATACAATAGATTTACTTTTGAGGTGAGGATAAAAATATATTCATCAAGGGCAAAAATGGAATGATAAAAAATAAACTATTCTTTTATAAAAATACAGTATTCCTATTTCAAATAAATTAAATGTTCCATTAAAGAAACCTAAAAAGTTCACAAAAATATCAAATACACTTGTCGTGATTATGAAATACTGTTTCCGGGTCCAAGTCGCTACTTATTTCAATTGGGAAATAAAATTGGTTAATGCCCACTTTTTAGGCATACACACATTAAAGTGAATTTTATATAAAATCATGCTGTACACAACTGTCTCTGGACTTGCTGCATCAGACACTAATATTTTACTAATATTACACTAACATTACTCAGTTTCTGTCCATCTCATATTACATTTTTATATATACAGAATTTTTATATATCAGAATTATTAAACCCCCTTTGAATTGTTTTTTCTTTTTTTAAATATTTCCCAAATTATGTTTAACAAAGCAAGAAAATTTTCACAGTATGTCTGATATTTTTTCTTCTTTCTTCTCTTATTTGTTTTATTTCGGCTAGAGTAAAATAAGTTTTAAATTTTTTAAAAACAACTTTAAGATCAAAATATATATATTTTTTGATAGTCTACAGAACAAACCATCATTATACAATAACTTAGCTAATTACCCTAACATGCCTAGTTAACCTAATTAATCTAGTTAAGCCTTTAAATGTCACTTTAAGCTGTATAGAAGTGTCTTGAAACATATCTAGTCAAATATTATTTACTGTCATCATGACAAAAACTATTTTGTTGAGAAATGCATTTAAAAAATCTTCTCCCTGTTAAACAGAAATTCGGGAAACAAATAAACAGGGGGGCTAATAATTCAGGGGATTTAATAATTCTGACTTTAACTGTAAACAAAGAGATATATATTGCAATTTTCTAAATTATATCAACATTCATATAAACATTTTCTTTTTTCTGTAGCTCACATATTAGATCAAAGTGGTATTTAATGCAAGTCGCCTTGTATAACATCGTCTGCCAAATGCATAAATGGACAAGTAAATATTGATTTAAAAATAAAGTCTCTTAAGTGGCAAATCAGCATATTAGAATTCTTAAAAAAAAAACATGTGACACCAAAGACTGAAGGAATGATGCCAAAGACTCAGCTTTGCCAATACAGGAATGCACTGCATTTTAAAATAGTAAAACAGTTCATTTAAACTTGTGTAATAGTTTTTTACACCAATTCTATTGCACTGTATTTTTCATAAATTAACAGCAACCTCGATGAGAAAGATAAGTGCTATCTGAAAGACTTATAAATATGTTAAATCTGAGCTCACCCTCTAGATTGACTGGCTTTTCAGCAATGCGGATCTGTCTCTCCGGGACCACCGGCTCTCCCTCAGAATTGCCAATGTCGGCAGGGAGGAGAGGCAGACTGATTCTCTCCTCTTGTTTTGAGCGTGGGTAATACAAAGGCAATAACTTCCTGTACACTGGCTGGAAGAACAATTACAAACAAACTCAAGGTCAATCGATCACACATATCAAACATTTGACACAAATATTTTATATCTCTAACTATTTAAGAATGTTGTGTTATGCAACTGTTAAACAGAAACACATGAAACTGTATAATGGCGGAGCTCAGGGTTTCACCCACAATCACAACAAATCTGGCCTCTGAATAAGCAAGAATTTCATAAGAAAATGAGAGGCAGGTTTAGAGATTTCAAGGATGGATTCTGTTGCATAACAGTGAAAACGAAATGCTGCGCACCTCCTCAACATCCGAAACAGCAAACACCAACGTCTCAATGTTCTCGCCATGGTTCTCCAGAAATCTGCGAACAGTTCCTAAAAACAAACATGGGGAAAGCACATTCTGATGAGATTCCTCTGAATTTCATCACAGAGGGCTCAACTCACATGTCGCATGTTAAAAAACAAGAAAGAAAATGAAATTACTTAATGCTATATGAGTGGCGTCCTCAACAGGATACGCTCTTTTGACTGTGCTGATCACACAGAAGCCCACAGAAACCATGGCATGCTCCCTGCAGGCAGAAATGTCAGTCATACATGATTTAACTTTCTGACAGTCAGTCATTAAGCGGGTTCCTTACGGCAGAAATGTAGTTTACATAAACATAAGCACTCCTATTGACACACGGTGCCATTCCCAAATATTAGATGAACAACATTCATCTTTACAATCACAAAAGCTAACACATTCATACTGGGAATCTTATATATTTTCGTGTCATGCCAGATCAGTTGGCATTTCTGTGTGGAGTTTGCATGTTCTCCCCATGTGCGTGTCGGTTTTCAAAAGGTCAAAGAAATGCGCTACAGGTGAATTAAATAACCTAAACTGGCCGTGGTGTATGTGTGTGAATGGGGAAGTATATGAGTGTTTCCCAGTGTTGGGCTGCGGCTGGAAGGGCATCCACTGCGTAAAACATATGCTGGATAAGTTGGCGTTTCATTCCGCTGTGGCGACCCCAGATTAATAAAGGGGCTAAGCCGACAAGAAAATGAATGAATGAACTAATAATACTAACAGTACAGCATTTATTAATCATGGTTCAACTTATTAATGCATTATTAAAATGCAAATTTAAGCTTGCTAACTTTAGTTAATACACTGTGTGTTAACAAGAACGAATGAGGAACTAACGTTAAAAAAGATGAACAAATTCTGTATTTAATGCATTGTTCATGTTAGTAAATACATTAACAAACTTTAGCTAATATACCCCTACTGTAAAGTGCTACTAATCAAATTAACTATTCTAGTCATCTCAACTAACTCAATGAAACTGACTAATAAGTAGGGCCAGACAGAATCTGTGGACGTTTTTTGCTATTTCTGCTGAGAATTTTGGTAAAAGTCTGCGGATTTCTGCTGAATGATTTTGGAAGTATCATAACTGAAACCTTAATATATATGAAATAAAATAAAAAGAAATAAATAAATTTATTTATTCATATACTTAATATATTAAATAAAAAGTAATACCTTTATAACTTTTATTTAATGTTAAAAATGCAAATCCAATTAGATTCACTTTATTTGGTAAACAAAGCAAGTCTCTCATATAATATCTCAACTAAAATACAGAAAATATGACTGTACAAACTGCATTGTACATAAATCTGATTAACATTTTCATATTAGACAATAATATTACTTTAATTAATAAAAAACTGAATAAATACACATTTACTCAAGTAAATAAACAGAATTAATGATGGCTTAAAATCTGCAAAATTCTGCGCGTGCAGATTCCATGTGGGCCTACTAATAAGTTAAACTTTATAGAACCTTGAAAATTTAAATGAAACCTGATTAAAATAAGTTAAAGTGACAACATTTTGTCAACTTAGAATTTTAAGGTGCTAACTGACATTTTTGTCAAAATTACGTTACCGACATATTCTTATTAATTGACAACTTATTTACATTATGGGATGTTTTTCTGTTTAAAGTTTTTTTTTTAACATTTCAAGACTTTTTATTTAAAAAGCAAATGTTACACACATACTGTTTGCTATGGAATGTAAAAACTTTAAAAGCATTCAGAATGCAGACAGAACCTTACAATTCCAAGGTGACAATTTGTTTTCAAGACATTATTTTGACAGTGCACAAGGTTAATGCTTCACATCATCAGACATCATCATTAATAATCGAGAGACATTGAACATGAATGTTTTTTTTGTCCTAAACTCCTTGTTGACATGTGGGAATGCCATACCAACCAGGATAATGTAAAATAACTATTCAAACATTTTTTTACCTTACCTTACCTTTATTTTTCATCCTGTTTCTAGTCAAAATATCTCTAAATTCTTAAAGCAATGGGCATTTTAAAACAAGCAAAAAATATTTTCTTGTTTTAGGAAATGATGTGCCAAAATGAAGTGAGTTTTTCCCTAAAACAAGCTAAATAATCTGACAATGGGCCCTTTTCACATTTCCGGGATTCTCAGTTGCGGAAGTCGCCATAGTTGGGTAAACTTGAGTGAATTGGAGAGTACAACCAATATTTTTTTTACATCATTTGCTGAAATAATGAAAGAAAACTCAACATCAAATTTCTCTCAGCCCCATTGGCGCTGCATTAAAACAGCTCACATACGCACTAATTCATTTTTGTAATTTGACGCAAAGATGATATAATACATTCATAAATGCATATAAATGTTCATACGTTTAAAAAAAAAATTGAAATATTAAACACTTTTAAGGATTAAAGATTATGATGACTGTCGTATGCATCATAACAGGCTTGTGAAAAGGCTCCATAGGGAAAGCAAAATAATCTTGTTTTTATTTGACATAAGATAATTTTACTTCTAGAAAATGTATTCTTGATTTAAGAATGTTTAGATATTTGGACTAGAAACAAGACAAAAATATAAGTAATAAAAGCCTTTTTTTGCTGTGTGAGCAGAACTAAGCCTATTTACCAAGTGCAACCCATGCAGTTTTAAAACACATTGGTCATTTCACTACCAACTGTTCTTGCAATGATCCTGCTTACTTGGCAAGCTGCAAGACGTTTCTGTAACAGCTGTATAGAGAACTTTCTGCAGCTGTCCGGTACTTGGCTTTATATTTGGGTCCAACGGTGTGAATTATAAATCGTGCAGCCAAGTCGAATCCCTCTGTCATTTTTGCCTCACCAGTCCGACATCCTGGAGAAAAAAAGATGTGCACACCCTATATCATCAGAACTAAACAAACAAAATGATGAGATAAGATCTATTAGAAATACACACTGCATTTAAAAATATCAACTGTTCATTGCTCATCAACAGATCATTGCTCGACAGATGTCTATTTGATATCCAGTTAGCGCCCCCTACCTTTCAGCTTAAGTAGTTCATCTCTTAGTTCAGGTCCAGCGTGTCTGTGGATACTGTCTGATATGGGGTTCTTGTCTGTTAGTGTCTCATTGCTTGTGTTGACGATTGCTGTGCAGTTTAAAAGTGCCACGTCTCCATTACTGCAATATAAGGGAAAGATATAGGCCAGCAGATCACATATCAGAATCTTCAGAACATTATGTTTGTTATGTAAAAACTGTGAGAACAACTGTAGAATGGAGAACACAAAAACTAAAAAAACATTTTAGGTCATTAAAAAAGGGAAACAAGTAAATATTAATAAAAATAAACTTGATTTAGAAATCAAGCTGAAAACTACAAGGTAAAAAGAAAAAAAAAGAAAAACTACTCATAAAAGCAGTTTTTGTGCTTTGTTATTCAAGTTTTCTTTTATCCTCCTGTTTATTTATTCTTTTGAATTGCATTATGGGACTTTGATCTTTCTTCCAACAAATTTAACCTTAAAAAGTAAAAAAAAAAAAAGTTACATTTAATAATTATTTATGATTTAAAGTGATCCATTGTTTTCAAAAGATAATGTTCACAACAATAAAAACAAAAACAGTGATAATGGAAATCAGAAGAATAACATGATATGAAAAATCCTGAAAATGAAAAGTCTACATGCACTGCTGAATTCCATTTGTGCCTGATTTTCCAGAAGGACAAGTATTATGAACTGAACATCATAGAGAAGTTTCATGCAATGCATTTCCTCTTTCGTTTAAAAAAAAGAAAAAGAAAAAAGCAGAAACTATGAATTGAGAGAGGGGGGAAAACTTTTATCCTACCCTAACAAAGCTACATTGCACAGAAAGCAAAGCACAGCTTGAAGGACCTTTTAGACATGTGACTGAGCCATAAGGGGGATTTGTGGGCACGAGGAAATGACTAAAAGACTTGAAAATCTTGTGCAAATAACTGATGCAATGAGCACAGTGCAGACTGAAGAGTGAAAAAAGAAATAACTGTTTTGGCCCAAATTATGCAATCATTGAACTTTACTTTTTCCCTACATGCACATTGTGATTTGATTTATTAATATACATTTTTATTAAAGAAATATTTAACTGATAAACAGAGACAGCAAAATAAAGAAGTCAGTTCTTTTAAAACAAAAATGTTTAGCATGTCACTTACAATAGTACAATCTTGTTGTTAATGTCCTGTCTGAAAGTAAACGGTGAGTTAACAGAGTTGAGCTGATTGGTCAAGTTGTCCTCTTCTTCCTCCTCCTCCTCCTCATAGTGGTTTTCTCCATCCAGCTCGTCCTGGACTCCCTGAGGCTGGTCCCATGTGGGCAGGTTCAGAACCTCCACAAACTGGGAACGGGCTCCCAAGGGATCCATTGTGCAAATTTGCTGTCTGATTCTGAAGTGAAAAGACACAGAGAAGCATTTTCTTTACTTACAAAGAGACTGTAGAATGACCTGAGGCATGCTAGCGCATTAATTTAATCGTACACACACAAATGCCTGATTCAACTGAAACATATACGTGGAAGACTACGATAACAGACTTCTGTAAATCTCAAGCACACAATTAATGCGTATAATTATTAACAACGTAATGGAAATATTGATTTTACACTTTAATTTAATTAAGAGTTGATTTTGTGATGTTTAATTAATTATAAATAATTTTCCCACATTTTTCGAGTGCCCTGGACTGATTTTTGCTGTTTATTGTGAGGAATTTCTTACCCAAAGAGCACCAATGCATTATTTAAGCTGCCCCTGGGCTCTTTTAGTCTGTTTTTGGAATTATAAATCTTATTTTAAAGGAACTTTATTAAAAAAATATTAATTTGACCTTTTAAATTTGAAGTTGTAAACAATGAAGCAATATGCTTCTTAGAGAACACTTGACAATTCTCAGTTTCTATGGATTTACTGGTCATTTTAGGTGTGGGTTTGTGTAAACTACTAATATTTGTTTTATTATAAAATCTGATCTGGTCATAATATCAATTGTTTTAACTTATTGGGATAAAAAAGAAGGTATAATGCACCAAATATTGCTTGCTTTCTCTTCTTCAGTTAAAACACAGACATGTTCTCTAACAATTAATAAAAAGATATCCAAAACATGGCACCTTTTCATATTTATATTTTACCTATTTATATTTCACACAAAAAAAAATCTCTCAAAACATATTTCATGTTCGTTTAAGATTTTGGAGAATTATCATTCATAGAAAAAACCCACAAATCTTATACCTAGAGAAAATGATAGATGACAAAGCGCACATAAAAATGAAATTTTCCCTTTAAAACAACTGATTGATTAGCAAGAAAAATATCTTCATTTTAACTGAAGTAATGTGGATTGCTGTGAAGCTCGCTGAATATGCTTTTTATATACATCGAATTTGATAGAAAACCTTCATTTCACTTTGACTGATCTAACGGAGTGATATACATATTGAATGGCGAGCACATGATATGGAAATGATTACATCTCTATTAATCTTTAAAAATTTCCCAATAGAACAAATTTTGACTAACAGATTAAGTATAGTTTAAAACCTTTTAACACGTACATATATACTAGGACTGCACTATATATATATATATATATATATATATATATATATATATATATATATATATATATATATATATATATATATATATAATTTCAGCATTGATACCACAATGTGTGCATTCGCAAGAGTCAGCATCTGTTATAGTTGGTCAGCAATGAAGAAGAGAAGCAGTTTTAAAATGAAGTGACACGACATCTGATGTACAGATGCCACTGGCACATGTAACTGCTGCTGATGAAGAATGTACAGTGTTTACATTTTAAATTACATTTGATTACTCAATAAGGACAGGACAAAGTAGAGATATACATGAGGTGGTGCATCTCGTAATGGCGGATCGAACACATAACAATGAAAAAATATATGTGCTGTTAATAAAAGAAATACATCTTAAAAGTTTTTAATGCATTTTCCACCAATTTATTACAAATGGCATGATATATTGTGGATGGTTTTCTTGTGATATATCACAGATATCGTGATTTATCATTATCATGGGCAAAATATCATGATAATATCGTATTGTAGCTGAATATCTGACTAATGTTTTTACTTTCATCTTTACTCTCTTACTTATTTGTGCAATTTATTTCATTCACTCTTTACCGAGATGACTCCAATTAAAGTTAATGATTTTATTCCAGGTAGAGTTAATCAAATCATTGAATCTAAGCTAAAATTGCATTCATATTACAGTATAAATCTCAGCAAAATAAAGTAATTGCAATGTTAGATTTTTTCAATGCCGTGCAGCCCTAATATATACACATACATACATTTTAAATGCTTATATTCAAAGTGCTTATTGTGTTATACTGTCTTAAAAAAACAAACAAACAAACAAAAAAACATTACATATGTTTAAAATGTATTCTTCAGATTATAAAGTATGTTATAAAAACTCCAGCAACAACTCCTGTGTCTGGCCAGCATGATCTGCATAAGTGTGAGAAGTGCAGTGTTCATAAACATAATTGACTTTGAGGCACAACAGAGAGGCTCTATCAGTACACACAGACAGACACACACAGGAGTCCAGGAACAGATAAGATATTCAGCAGCATTGAGGCGCATGTGTAAAGGTCGACTCAAATTAGATTTCATCATCAACATCAACAAAGTATAGGCTCGATCAAACATATAAACGTCCAGTCTCCATGTTCATTAGCACCAATAATAATACACTGCGTTGAGGAGGACGAAAGGGAAAATAACACCTCGTATTAATTCCAAATATAACAACTATAAAAGTGAAACTGCAACCAACGTAAAGCACCACAACTACTCATCACAATGTCCAGCCACCTACCAGATGATGCAGATATTCAGTCCAATCTCCTGGAAAAACAAAACCGCGTTAGCTCAAATCCATGCACGGACGAAAGAGTCAGAAGCCACTGTCAACGTCCTCTCTCTCCTTCCGCTTTTAAATAGACCATTGTTAAAATGTGATTTTTACTGGTTGTGGTCAACACATCGTGCGTGCAACATTCAGCGAGTTTCCTGATCAGCTGATTCACGAGAACAAAAATCATCACTTCCGGGATTGCGGCAGGGAGTGTGGATGTGTTGTCAATCCGTGTCGAAAACGCACAGACGTGTTCAAAAATGTAATCACAGATTTTAATAGACGTTCTACGTTCAATGAGAATTGCAAAATAAGTACAATAAAAAATAACGAATATATAACTTAAATACATGTTTTATTTGCGAGCACATTTGGCCTCAGGCACAACATTGTGACTTCATAGACCTAAGTAATCAATAACATGAGCGTAAATCACAAGAAGAACACATACACAAACCACACACGCAAAGGAAATAATAAGGACGGAATAAATAATATATTAGTCGCACAAATATTCATAAAACGGTAAATATGCTAAATGTTTTGTTTAGTTTCATCGTTGTGCTGCTCGGTAATCTACTACGTCTGCCTTTACAGGATGTCACACATGCGACTGGAAAGCATGTCGGAGTTCTCCCCATCCACTGAAGAAATACTTTCATAAGGACTGCAAATACAAAAGTCGTCTAATTCACAAAAGTATGTAAATACGTTTTTTTAATACACAGTGGTCATTATGAACTGTAAGATAGTGTAAAAGTTTACATATTCGCATTTATATGCGATTAAAAGAGCTGCCTTAGCTCAAAGCGTGGCGTCAGGAGTAACTTATAGCTTCAGTTAATGGCCTATTTAAAGAATAAATTTACGTTGTAACTGGCTATAGCTTTTATATATGTTCATGAGAACCATTTTGTTTGCAGCCGAATAACTAAAACGCGTCACAACAACAGATCTGCTGTAACTTTTATTATAACTTTATGCCAAATTTTAATGTGCCACATACCTTATTATATTTAAATTAGTGCTAATATTTAATACGTAATATGTTAGGTGCAAGTTCTGACAAAACGTAACGTAATACACTACTATACACTAATGCAATTTAATGTAATATATGATGATTAGTATAAGACTGATAGGTGGACTGTTATTATGTTTGCATAGAAGAGTTTGAAGCAACAAAACAGCAGGCTAGCATCTAAAGTTAAAGTTATCATAAGTGCAAGTAATCGAGTAGTACAAATGAAAGTACAGGTAAATATACAGTAGTCAACAATTGAAGCAGATCAGTTTTTTCTAAATTGTCCTGAGACAGGAATGGTTGTTCAATAGTTTTTAGGACAACTTTGATAAAAGGTTTTGATTCACAAACATCTGCTACACATATTATGATTTTAAGAAAATATTATTGTAATTTAAAAAAATGTGTAATATTTATCAGGAAATCTTTTTTTTTTTTGACATTTCATGAACCCCTGAAGGGGGGCATTCTAAAACGCTTAACATGAAAAAAGCTTAACGTGGCTTAATGTACCTAAACCTTAACCAGAGAAATCCAAATTACTTTCAAATTGTAAGTGTAATTAACCCCAACTACTAAACTAATTAAAAAAGAATGAGTCCCAATTCTATAGATAAAGTGAAAAACAGCACATTAAGCGTTTCCTCCCCCATTGAAGTCTATTTTAAGGAAAGAGCTAAAGGTGGCTTAATGTACCTTAACAACAATTAGAGAAAATCAAATTTCTGTCAAATTTTACTCAAGACACTTTCTGATGTCAAAAATTTAGCTTTAATTTTAGTGAGGGAAAGTTTTCACGTTATGCCTTTTAATTCCATTATAAGCAAACAGGCTTAATATACCTTAACACAGAGCAAGAAACCCAAATTTATGTCAAACTTTACTTGTGATTACCACTAACTCTTGTCAAAAGAGCAGGCTTTAATTCCATAGATAAAATGAACAATATCACATTAAGTGTTTCTCCCCCATTGAAGTCTATAATAAGGAAAGGCTTAACATAACTTTACAGCAACCAAGGGAAACCATTTGTTAAAAAGAGTGTTTAAAAATCAAAATTAGTGTTAATCACAAGTAACATTTGATAGAAATGTGATTTTCCCCCCACTTGTTGTTAAGATACATTAAGCCAAGTTAAGCTTTTTCCTAATAATAAACTTCAATAGGGGAGAAAACACTTAGGGCAATGTTTTTGACTTTATCTATGGAATTGGGACTCGTTGTTTTTACAGTAGTTGGAGTTAATTGTGAGTACAATTTGACAGAAATTTGTGTTTCTCTGCTTCATGTTTAGGTACATTAAGCCACATCAAGCTTTTTTCATGTTAAGAGTTTTAGAATGACCCAATTGAGGTAAAGTTGGTTTTATATTCACACACTCGGACTTTCTCTTTAATAATATAATTTCAGAAAAGTATTCTTTGCCATTTCTAAATAGTCAAAACATATTAGTAGCCAATGGCTATCAAAGTACAACACTGCTCACAGTCAGTTAAATAGTGCTAATATTGTTTTGAAGTAATGTTTACATCTGATTTCGGACCAAATATTCAAAGTATCATGGTAAACACTATAAGGAGCAAGTCACAAGTTTTCATTGAACAAATATGTGAATATAAAACCAACTTTACCTCAGTCATTTATCCTACCATGTTAAAAGCATGTTGTAGTGCAGCTTTATGCAGATAACCAATTGTGCTCAGTTTAGAAAATTAAAGGAGTAATGTGTTGTTTATGTGTTCTCCAGCCATGGGTTTAACTAAGCAGTACCTGCGCTATGTGGCGAGTGCTGTATTTGGAGTGATCGGCAGTCAGAAAGCCAATATCGCCTTTGTGACCCTCAGGGGTGGAGAGAAGGGTCGATATGTTGCAGTGGGGGCTTGTGAACATGTTTTCATATGGGATGTCCGCAAGGCTGAGAAGGTATTTGTTTAGAATGTTTTAGAAGATCATTTATTGAACTACAGTATAATTTTATAGAAATGTATCACTGATTTTCTCATCTATTCATTTCGCAGGTTCTCATACTTGAAGGTAAAAAGCATGAAGTGACGTATCTGTGCCCCTCTCCTGATGGTGTGCATATAGCTGTTGGTTATGAGGATGGAGGTGTGCGAATCTTCAGTTTGCTGAACGGTGAAAGCAACGTCTCCTTCAGTGGACACAAATCAGCCGTTTCAGTCATCAAATACGATGCTCTGGGAGCTCGTCTTGTCACTGGCTCAAGAGTAAGACCTCAGTTCATATTAGAATTCATTCATTTTTTTTAATACAGATTTTCTTTTTAGCTTGAACTAAACTTGTTGTGTTTCAGGACACAGATGTGATTGTGTGGGATGTCATCAATGAGTGCGGTCTGTACAGACTTAAAGGACACAAAGATGCCATCACACAAGTTTTGTTCTTGGAAAGTAAAAACCTGCTGATTACAAGGTAAAGCAGACTTCAAGTTTTATATAGAAATAGAATTTTTAGACAGATTTTAGATCCGAACTTGACAAAAGTTTGTCAAAGATATCAATGCACATCAATAAAACATTTAATCAGAGAGTACATTTATCAAAGTATATTCAATACCTTTTAAGACCTTTTTAAAGACTCTTTCCATACATTTTAGGACCTTATAACCACTTTTCAACCAGAAAACACTGTTGAGATTTTAACTTACAGTATATTTACTAAATATTAATGTAAGAAACTAGTCCAAAACTAAAACATTATTCATATACTGAATAAAAATCTAGCCAATTCAGCAGTTTGGCGGCTATAGAACTGCAGAAATAATGGTGTTGCCTTACTGCAGTGAACAAAGCAGCTTGTCAAATCTAGCAAGATAATACTGATTTTGTAAACTACACAGCATCAAGAATTAATTCAGGCAAACTTTAGCATACAACCATACATTGCATAAACAAAAAGACTTTTAAAAACTTTTTCAAGGCCTTAAATTTCTCTACATTGATTTATCAAGACACAGCGGACACCCTGTTTATACAAAAATAAAAAATTTTAAAAACCTTTTTAAAGGGATTGTTCAAATAAAAATACCCTTCATTTACTCACCCTCAAGTGGTTCCAAACCTTTATGAGTTTCTTTCTTCTGTTGTACACAAAAGAAGATCTTTTATAACCTGTAACCATTGACTTCTATTGTTTAACGCCACTATAATTATCTGTGTATAGTTTTATTTTAAATTTCTTCTCCTCTGTTTTGAGTAACAACATTCTTTTGAAACACAGTTATATGCTCAACTCACATATACACTTTCATATCTTGCTCCTTTGGTTTCTGTTAATATAAATGCTGAATGAATAATATAGATAAAATGACAGATATTTAGCTGTATGTGGTGGCTTCACACCTGTTAAGGATCCATTTCATGTTTTCTCAGTTCCAAGGACAGCTTTGTAAAGTGGTGGGATTTGGACACACAGCATTGTTTCAAGACGATGGTGGGACATCGCAGTGAGGTAATTCAAATCGCTGTATACTTGATTGAGACTTGATCTTTCTAATATAATACAACAAACTAAATGGACTCAGCTGTTACCTACAAAATTAAACTTACTAAAAATGTAGTATCTTTGATTAAAAAGTTTAAGAGTGCACATTTCAGGCTTTATGCAGGTACGTTTCTTATGTATGTGAGGCAAAAGTTTGCAGAGATTCAACAGTTTTTTTTCCAACGCATTTGCCAGTCATGTTGATAGAAGAGTCAGAAAGAGAAAACACTTCCTGTCTGTTTTACTAATTTTATAAAAGCATTTTGTTTTGCTGTAATTATGAATATATACAAACAAAAATAGATCCTTTGCAGTTTTCACATACATGAGAGACATACCTGCATAAAGCCTGAAATATGCACTCTTAAAGAATTATTATTATTTTTTTTAATCAAAGATACTACATTTTTAGTATGTTTACTTTTGTGGACATTGTTTGTCCTATCATTACAATAAAAATTACAGAATATTTTATGAATTAATGTACTGAAATGTGTGTCCCCGTTTGCCAACCCTATGGAAGTTAAGTCACGTTTTGAAAATGTGTCTTTTGCACTTTTCTGATATCAACGTTGTCTTCTCCCTATAGGTGTGGGGAATGGTGCTGTTAAACCAGGAGAACAGGTTGCTTACAGGGTCTGCTGACAGTGAGCTCAGAGCCTGGGACATTCAGGACATTGAGGAGGTAAAGAGATGTTTATTGTGCTGTGTAGGTGGGATACTTTCCGGTACAGTCTTGACTGATTTTTGATCTTATGTAGAGAATGACTATAAAGTTTACCCTTCTTCATAGGTTAAGGAATTGGGGGAACCACAGGAGAAGAAAGTCAGAACTCTTCTTGAGGATGAGGAGGAAGATGAAGAAGGACCCGATGAGGAGCCAGAAGAAGTAATATAATTTCTTTCCACAATTCCATAAGAATTATTGATGACAGGATATTGAATTATTAGATATATTGCACAGCTGAGGTGGTGATATGGCCACAATATGAAGCTTATACTATGGTTACACATAAAACACTGTTCAGATATTGTTTTTCAAGATATTTGTCAGGTCTTTGTCCTCAAACAGCTCGTGTAATTCACTACTTGGGCATCTTATCCAGAGACTTTTGTTTTGATTAGATTTTTGTAGGTTGTGAATTTACTGAAATCATTCAGCGAAGTGATATAGATTTGTAATGTGGTCAAAACCTGCCTGGAACTACTTTAGCTGTGCCATTATGGGAAACTAATTTGACCAGCCAATCAGAATCTAGCCTTAAACAGCTGTATTCAGTGGACATAAGTGACTTAACACGACAAAACACAGTTCATTTCGTCTAAAAACATTTCCTTCACATGTTTACCAAAGATTTGATATGTGTCAACAGAGGATTCTCAGCTGTAAGAAAGCCGGGTCTATTCTGAGAGAAGCCAGAGACAGAGTTGTATCATTGGTTACAGATGCCAAAGCTAAAGTTCTAGCCTGTCATGTAAGTATGAGTTATATATTCAGCTTTGTTAGCTTTTTCTTACCAAACACAATTCCACAAAGAGGAATTTAAAAGGATAGTTTACACAAAAATGTAAATTCCTACTCACCCTTCACTTGTCACAATTCTGTTGAGTTTCTTTCTTCTGTTGAACCCAAAGGAAGCTATACTGAAGAATTTTGGCCATTGAATGGCTTTTGGTTTCCAACATTCTTCAGAATATCTTGTTTAATGCTCATCATAAAAAAGAAATTCAGCCAATAATGTGGAGATGTTAATTTTTGGGTAAACCTCCTTTAATGTATATCAAGAAATGTATTTTAAAACCTTTACAGGGCCTGGATGCTACCCTTGAAGTTTTTACTGTACTATCAGAGGAGGAAATCCAAAGAAAAATGGACAGAAAACTGAAGAAAGCCAAGAAAAAAGCCAAGTATGTTAGACCCTTGTTTTGATACCAATGATGAAAGTATGGTATCCTGATTGACTGTTATATTGTGCAGATCTCAAGAAGGAGGAGAGGAAGCTTCTGAACCGGTAGTGGAGAGGAAGTTGAAGGATGAAATCATGAAACTGGCAAACATAAGGGCGTCATCCAAGATCAGGTCAGTTAGTAATTTTGCATTCAAGCATAGTCCTTGTTTGTGTTACTGTTATCAAGTGTTCAAAGCTATTTTTTGACATCTACAGATCAATGGACTGCCTTTTGGTTCCTAACGGAGAGATGAAAGTTGTTCTTCTTCTGCAAAATAACACAGTGGAGACATACACGCTGAAGACTACAGAGAAGAATCCCACTGGGAATAAAACCTCTCGCCTCACACTGGGTGGTCACCGTTCAGATGTCAGGACAGTGGCCTTCAGCTCAGATAACATAGCAATCCTTTCTGCCTCAGGAGACACTGTCAAAGTGTGGAACAGGTGAGCATGATGAAGCCACAATTCACCTAAATCACATATCGATTGTTTTTTTGCGATACCAAGTATCTTCTTCTCCCAGGTCCACCTTGCAAGTTATTCGTACCATGGGATGCGAATATGCTCTCTGCTCGATATTTGTTCCTGGAGACAGACAGATTATCTTAGGAACAAAGGTATGAAACAATTCACTTTGTAAAACATCAGTCAGTGAAGGTTTGAATAGAAAATAGATCACCCTTTTTTCTGCAAAAGCTACAAAATGACAAAAAGTGATATCTGTGAAGGAGACCATATTTTATAACGAGTTTAGATAAAAATGCTTTAACTTTGTGGAAGGAACCGATTGAAATTAGTCTATTGTTAAACATCTGTCCACAAATTCAACAAAATAATTTTTTAGCATTAGTTTACCATTTTAATAATTTTACATTTTTAATTTTTGTAATTTAAAAAATAATTTATCATTTATTTTTGTTTAAGTTTTAAAATAATTTGTAATTGTAACTTCTACTTTTCTATTTCTTTTCTACATTTTTATTAAATTTTATTTTTGTTAGCATTAGTATTCTTTTATTCTTTATTTATTTTTTATGTTTTAGATTTCAGGTTGTGGCCAAGAAAATATGTTTTTAATCTACTTTTTTATTTTAAAGGTTCTGTGATTTATTCAGTGTTTGATGTAATCTCAGATTGACATGAAGAGAGGTTGGGACGTATTGTAGCTCCTCCCCTTAAAAAAAAACAATAGCGGTTGTTTTATCACCGCTCCGCCAGTGAGAGTAGTTAATCACAAGCGCATCAAATGTGAAACATCTTGAAGGAGGCGGGACATATAAGATGCTAGAGAGCATTTACAGACAGGGTTTCCGCAGGGTCTTAAAAAGTCTTAAATTCGCTGTTCTTGGTCTTTAATATTTTTGCACAGGGATACGTTTGTTAAAACCAAAAGAGGTCATTGCAAAAGTGACCCAGATACACAATTACAGAATATGTTTTTCCACCAGTCACTGATGTATATGTTACAATTAGGAATTTAAAACTATTTAGTAGTTATAAAACCATACTTAAGGAACAAATTATTTCTTATAACTAGAAAATAATATTTGAACCTTTCGGTTGTTTACAATATACTGATGGCCTGTTTATCTAGGTTTTATTATTGATAATGGTCAGGAATGTTGGACCATCATTGCCATTTTTGCTCCATCAGTAGAGGACAGAAACTAGCCAGATAGTAATGTGTGAATTGTTGAGTGGTCAAATAAAAAAGTCAATATTTTTTAGTAAATGTACTTTTTTTTTGCTTTTATTTTTTCCACATTAAAAATATAATTGTAGAGCAACCCATGTTCTGTAGTCATTAATATTTAACTTTAATAGAAAAAAGCAAGTGATGCATCAAAGTTTGATCTAAAAAATATTGAATGGTTATAAAAATATTATAATCATTAAAATAAATTATTTAAAAAAAAATTATTTGTTTAAAAATCTTGAATGATATTAATGATATGATATTCTTCCTATTCTCTGTTTATCCACTTGACTTTACAGTGGCTTTCTTTTGAACGCCCTGCAATGTGGTGCCAGGCAAACGTGTAAATCAGCCTGAAAATGTTTGTTTGTTTTTTGAATAAATGTTCCATTTCAATACATGTATTTTGCCACTAATTTTGTGATTTTTCTCTTTATGTGTATGCATGTTTTTGATATTATTTAAGATATAAATGTAATACTTAAGTGTAATACTTAATGGTCTTAAAAAGTTCTAAAAAAGTCTTAAATTTGACAATATGATATCCGCAGAAACCCTGTACAGAGCAAACTGAAGTATGAGGTGATGTGAAAAAAACATTAATCCATTTAGGCGGAAGGGACAAACTGCAAGCTTTAAATGTTTTATATACTCAAAAAGTGAATTGTGTCACTGTTTTGGTGTGCACTAGCTTATAGATATCCTAAAAACTAACAATACTGTAGAGCTGTGAACCTACATTGGTTTCACAGTTCGGCTCGGTTACGATTATCATGCCATGGATTCAGTTTAATTAGATATCTCGTTGCATTGACGCCGCTTTCCATGCACAGTTTTATATTTCCTTTACAGCAGCAACTCTTGTATTAAAATGTATGAATATATTTATATTTATATACTATTTGTAATACAATTTTGTCATTTAATACAAACAGTCAGATATATAAACTGTACCTTTAAACATCACGAGCATTTATAGCAATTAATATAAATATCCCGCTCGCTTTCTGGTCCTTGTCTAGTTCTACACCCCTTTGATTGGTCACAACCTCAACAAAAAAGGCTGCGATTGGCTCTTGCGCGCTATGGTCTTCATAGATGATTAACACTGATAAATGGCAGGCGGCAGCGGCTATCACAGCTGATCCATGATAGACACGGTGGAGAAACCTCTGCATGCACTCGCTCGTGTTTGTATTTAGAAGTATAGCTGTAAAACAGCCGAGGGGAGAGGAAAAGTCACGCCAGCAGGTCAAATGGGCCACAGTGAGAGAGAGAGAGAGAGAGAGAGAGAGAGAGAGAGAGAGGGAAAAAGAAAGAAAGAAAGATTGAAAGAAATGGAGGACTTTTATTCTCTCAATCACAGTGAAATAGAGGCTTCTGCTGTAAGTGTCAGTGAAAGACTGATCCAGCAAACACACACGCAGTGAATTGTGCACAGTTTCTGAGTTTTAAGTAGTTTGAGAGTTGTAAATATTCGCACTTGCCTGTCTCACCATAGCGCATATGAGATAAATGATGTCAGCACATAATAACCGGTTATGATTTTTACTGAACCGATACCGAATTGTCTGTATCGCGGTGCACCGAAGAAACAATTAATTTTTACACCCCTACAATTCTGATACTAACATCTAAAAACATTAACATTTCATGGGGCCTTTAATTTAATTATTAAAGTATTTTATGTGGATACACTTGTGTTGCTGTGATTCTTTACTATGGAAACTGATTCCTTTGACATTTTTCTTTACTTTAATGTAGAATTGTCCTAATTGTGTCATGTATGTCTCTTGTGTCAGAGTGGGAAAATTCAGATATTTGACCTGGCCTCAGGAAGCCTTCTAGAGACGACTGATGCTCATGAAGGAGCTCTTTGGTCCATGTGTCTCTCTCCAGACCAGGTATATCCAGCTTTCTCTCTGTGCACAAATACTTCATAGTCTCATCCCTTCAGTTTGTGCCTTTAACAAATTTCTGCCTCTATTTCAAAGACTGTAAGCTTTCACTTGCAGCTTTACGAGAATGTATTTGACTTTTGGATTTATGTGTGTCTATACAGAGAGGGATTGTAACCGGCGGTGCTGACAAGACTGTGAAATTCTGGGACTTTGAGCTCATAAAGGATGAGGACTCTATGATAAACAAGTGAGTTATTATCTTTGATCACAAACCTCAGCTCTCTCGTCCAGGTTTCTGCTTCACTCTTTTTGGCTTTATTGTATTCTTTCTCTGTGTAACCCACAGGAGACTGACGGTGAAACACACGCGCACGCTGCAGTTAGATGAGGATGTGTTGTGTGTTCGCTTCAGTCCTGACCAGAGGCTACTGGCCGTCTCTTTGCTCGACTGTACAGTCAAGATCTTTTACACAGACACGCTAAAGGTAAACCTCAGCATGCAAATGTGGCCTCTCTTGAATCTTGAATCCTTATGAATGCTTTGAAATAGAATGTATCAAATAAAAAAGACATTACTTTTTTTAATAACATTTACTAATCAACATTTTTTCCATCAATGGAGCTTTTTCCTTATTCCAGGTCAACTTAAAGAGCAGTAAATGGGAGAGTACCACAAATAATTTGCATTGTATTTATATTTGCTTAAATAATAAAGGAAACTCCACAATAGTGCTTTTATGACTTTTAAAATGGAAATGACAGTTAAAGCGTCTATAATAAACTGACACTATATAAACATTTATTTGGGGGTGATCTGATCATGCTAATTGAGAAAGCCTGATATTTTCATATAGTACATGTTTACATGTCTCACTGCGTTTGATTGTACTATATAGAATGAAAGAATCTCTGATTTACTAGTAGTATTTTGTAGTAGTGTTGCTCCTAAATATAATTCAGTCTTTCCACAAATGTTCCGAGCAGATTCTTGATGGTATAAACAATTGTATATCTAATTGTGTATTTTTATTGACTGATTATTATTTCATGTGTTCGTCTTTCGTATGCTATATCAGTGCTTCCCGAAGGCTTGAAATATATTTGCAGTGGTAGCTGGATTGAAACACCCCATTTACCCATAGCACATAAATAGTTAACTTAATGCGACAAACAAAGCCTAATTAAAATTTTAACAATCATTTTATTTATTAAGACACTGTTTTACGCTGTTTTTTTCAATGGCTTAAAGTAAAAAAAAAAAAGACTGTTGAAATAGAAATAGAAATCCACTACTTCTCTTACTTTAATGCTATTCAGGAGCCATGTGCACCCACTGACAGGTCAAATCTGCTCCTCTCTCTCTTTTACATTCAAAGCAAACTTGAATGCCAATGCATTTTAAAAATGTATTTAAAATACCCTTTATAATATAATAACATAATCAATTTGATAAAATAATCAGCAAATAACAAATAAAAAAAAGAAAAAGAAAGAAAAACAGACAATATCTCTAAAATGATCATAATTACAAGATTAAAAATGTGTAGATTATTTAAATAAGGCAAATGCATTGATTAACCATTAATGGTGTACATATATTTTGTAGCCAGTTTAGACCAGTCATTTCATCCTCTCCGAGTATACAGTAAAGTTTTTCTAAGTCATTTAGATTAAAGACCAAAATAGTAATACAAAAACACATCTGAGCTTTAGAAAGTGAAAGCAAAAGTCAGCTCCCGAACATTTCAGGAGATTTAGGGCATACTCACATTATGTACAGTTGCCTTGAACTGGGCTAAAGGTGAACCGCGCTCTATCACATTATATTTAATAATATTGTGATATTCAATATTTGTGAAGTCATACAGCTCCGGATAACTCGAAACAGCAACCACTAGTCTCTTCTACATCTTTAAAAGTCTCTGTAGTCATCTTGACAACACAAATGCAGTTTTAACTTTAACAGAAACGCCACCTTTGCTTTAATTTGATTGACTTTTTTCAACTGTGTGATGCACAGCACACAACAGCAAAAACATAAGATGCAGCAGGCGGTTAAAGAGCCCTTAAAATGTTTTTTTTAAATGACCTTCCATGCAGTGTGTAACACAGCTCTTAGTGAAGTGAAATGTCCAGCTAAGGCTTAAATCTGAAAGTGAGCCGTGTTTAAAACTATTGATTCATCTTTAAAAGAGTCGACTCATAGTGGTTCAAATAAATCAAATCGTCATTGTAATGAATCTCCAGACTCTGGAAAATTGAAACTGCCGACCCCGCCCACAAACACTGTAGAAAGAAAAAGAGGAATACAAATACTGTAGCAGTTTCCGGGTGAATCAAGTGGCATAGACTTTCTGAAGTGTGAGGGAAAGATAGTGTTACTTTCCCTACCCAAAGATGAGGCTGTGAAGAGTCAGGGGTTGAAGTTTATTTTTGCAAGCATTATATAGCAATTATATATTAATGTTGATGAACCATGGTGGGATTTTCTCTCTGTCTCACGCTGAACCCAGTCGATCAAACAGAACAGACTGGGTTATCGAACCAATCAGTGTGGATTAGCATCTTGCAAAGGAGGGGTTTGGGAACAAATGAATCGCTGAACGAATCATACGGGAGTCATTGGGATAATTAGGTAAAAACAAATGCATATTATAAGACAATTAAAGTGTTTTTTGACCATCCACACATATCAGCCTGTTGTTAAAGACCCCCAAAACCAAAATATGACCTTTTATAATGCATAATATAGGGGCTCTTTAAAAATGTGAGGCTTGCAAGGTGCATAACCAGCACGCAATTCGCTCAAGGCCATTAGAAAATCATTTAAAAGGTGTGCCTCTCAATACAAAAAAAAAAGTGTGATTAGGGCCATAGAGGATAGAATGATAAAAGATTTGCCCTCTTTCTCTTTTTTTGTGCTGTAGTTCTTCCTGTCGCTGTATGGACACAAACTGCCTGTTCTGTGCCTGGACATTTCACATGTGAGTCAGCTGACTAATACTTCAGTTCCTGTAAGTCAGTTTGACTGTTTGTGCTGAAATGTTGATTGTGTGTTCTGCAGGACAGCGCTTTAATAGCCACAGGCTCGGCTGACAGAAACGTGAAGATCTGGGGATTGGACTTTGGAGACTGTCATCGCTCCATGTTTGCTCATGACGACAGGTAATAAAAACTCTGCTGCTCGTTTATAGTGACACATAGTTGGCACGTCTGTTCTCTGTCACATTACCTGTGCGGTTTTCAGTTATATTGTTAGTGAAAGTTATAATAGCGCTCTGACAAGTGCAGTGTGTTTTCAGCGTTCGGTCAGGTGTCACCCACCTCTCTGTAATCGTTGGATGACATCAGTCCAGATGGTCATTATTTGTCATCCGCTGTTTGTCTTTTCCTCCGCAGTGTCATGTTTCTTCAGTTTGTCCCTAAAACCCATCTGTTCTTCACCGCCGGAAAGGACAAAAAGATCAAGCAGTGGGACGCTGACAAGTTTGAGCACATCCAGACGTTGGAGGTGACCTTCTCTCCATACCCGGACTAGGCATTTTTCCATAGCCGGAATTAATTTTCCATAGGCCGCTGAGGTGGAAGTAGCTGTTACATTTGAGGGATTAGAGTTCTAACAAGAGCCCAGTCAATATGCAGCAGAGGCTGATTGCATTACGCAAACCTTGGTCTGCTTTTGCTTAGGCCAGAATCAATGTAATCGTAGACAAAGATGTATTGGATCGTTTGGATTATTACATGTGCTCTCTGACTTTGAGTTTGTTTTTGAACTGTGACCTCTGGATGTTCCTCAGGGTCATCATCGGGAGGTCTGGTGCCTGGCCATCAGCCCGAATGGAGATCACATTGTGTCCTCGTCTCATGATAAATCTCTCAGGCTGTGGGAGAGAACGAGGGAGCCTATTATCCTGGAGGAGGAGAAAGAGATGGTGAGTGCTTGGTTTTTCAGCACAAAACAGGTTTGACGTGCTAATATGCAGATCTGAAAGGTGCTTGAATGACGATATGTCTGGAGTTTAAACTGATTGCTGTCGTTTTGTTTGTTTATGTTAGATTAACCAAGGCATAAATGGTAAAGCGCTCTTCTGGAAAGGGGGAGTGCAGCTTATTTGCATTTAAAGAGACATAGATGAAAACATTAGATTTCACCTAAAAAAAAAAGTGGCTTTTGGGCATGTATACTAAGGCCGTACTCACAGTAGGTACAGTTGCCTCGAACCGGGCCAAAGCACGCTTGTCCCCCCTCCCGTCTCCCCCGACGGCCCGCGCTCACACCACAAACGGGCCTCGGCACGCTTACGTCATCGCTGCTGCGCAGTTCAGTGAATAGCGCTCTCTCACTTAGCAGCACAGTGGAGATTTCTCTAGTTATATCGTTTCAGTCGTTTGTTATGCAGTGACATGCAGTCAAATATTTCGCCAAACAGTCCTTAGGGATGCGGTGACACGCAGTCAGATATTTCGCCGAACAGATCCACCAATTTTGCCGCTCATAAACAATCATAAAGCCCTCGTGCTGCAGGAATGAAGAGGTTTGCTGAAGCCGCGCAGCTTTCGTGCTGTGAGGAGTTCTCGTCTTTAATAAACTACGGCAGTTTGCGTTCACTGAACAGTAAGAATGATTAATAAATCCATATGAAACAGCCCCTTAAAAGTCACGTCTCGCTTTCAGTCTGGGCTTTGGCGCGTTTTGCACTCACACACAAGCGTACTGTTGAAGGTACTGTTGGGCCTCCTCTATTTAATTTAGGTTTGTTAGCTCAGCAAATTAAGATTACAGTCTCAAATTTAGGGGTGAAATTTGACTTAGATTTTAAATTTGACAATCAGATTAGAGCGGTAGTTAAATCTAGCTTTTTCAATTAAGACAACTAGCAAAAATAAAGCAATACTGTATATACCAAAACAACAGTTTTAATCCATTATTTTGGGATTGTGCTTTCGGTGTGGCAGGTCCTAGACTTTGGAATGTGTTGCTGCTGCCCATTAGACAGGCCTCTTTCCTGTTTTCATTTAAATTAGTTCTTAAAAGTCTTTCTTTTTATTGGCCTTTGACACCTGATCTTAATAACTGGTTATTTTTAATTTAAGTGCCTTTTTACACAGTTTAGCTATATTTTATCTTGCAATTTATATACTGTTATGCTTATTTTGTTGTATTTTTTTTTTGTACAGCACTTTGGCTCTATAAATAAAGTTGGACTTGACTTACTCGATTGTAATTTAAAATATAAAACTGTTATTGGCTTCATTATTTGGAGAGAAAAATACTTTGCATCCTGAGCATACCCTACTGATCACTATGTATGATTACTGTGTTTTTATAAAATCTGTTTGCTAACTGCTGTTTTCATTTCAAAGAAACCCAAGTATATCTGAAAATATACAATGTAACATATAAAGTGACCTTTGTAATATTTTTCATTTCAGGAGAGGGAAGCAGAATTTGAGGAGTCATTGGCTAAAGGTGATGATCCTGTGGTAAGTGGCTCTCTCATACTCTAGAGGTCAGTTAGTTGGGATTTATCTCTCTGCATGGTTTCAGTCCTTCTGTGTGTATCTCACAGGTTCCTGGAGAGACTAAAGGTGAAGCTGAGCCTGCTGGGAGAAAGACTGTTGAGACTGTGAAAGCTGTGAGTGCACAGAGCTGTACAGATAAAGAGCTTCCCTCCTTTATATACAGTAATGGACAAATGACACCCTCTTCTGTTTCAATAGGCCGAGCGAATAATGGAGGCCATTGAGCTTTACAGAGAGGAAAGCAAAAACCTGGAGGAGCACAAAGCTGCTTGTGAGGCAGCGGGGAAAAAGGTATGAGTTTTTCTTGAAATACAAAATGCTAAAAGCACATTAAGAGATGAAAAAATGCATTAGAACTTTGTCAGACTGCAAAGATTTAAGATCATAAAATATGGATTTTACACATAATGATGTTGGTGCATTACTTGTTTTGACCTTGTTTTTTGTGCTCTTTATAGTTACCACCTCTTAAGATGAACCCCATCCTTATGGCTTTTGGAAATATCTCAGTGAGTGTTTATGTATTAGTACTGGGCTTGTTTTGGTTGTCAGATTTAGTCAATACAGTAATTAGAGGCTTACAATGTAAAGTTTTGGCAAATACTATTAATAATATATATATATATATATATATATATATATATATATATATATATATATATATATATATATATATATATTTCAAATAATGATTTAATGCTGGGCTTGTTTGTCATATTTGTTTAATTAGAGCTGTACAATGTACAGTATTAGCATGCAAACATATATATTTATTACTAATTTAGTTAATACTTGAGGTGCACAATGTAATTGTTTTTATGTGTATACAACATGCGTTGAAATGTTTTATATGGATTCAAAAAGACCTGTATGTTAAATTATAATGAATTTAGCTGTAATGCCAGATTAATGTATGTATTAAAGGGGCCATGACCTGAGAAACCAAAATAAACTTGATAATTTGGCTCATTAGAGGTCATAGCACTATAAAAATATCCTGTAAGTTTCAGAACTCAACACTTTGTTGTTCCTCTAAAATCATCTTATTTTAAATTGAAGTCTGCGAAACCACAGGATCTGGAATGTTCTACTCTGTGATGTAATAGGGTGAATAAGCCCCGCCTCTACAGAAGATTGATGACTATTAATTTACTGCTTGTTTAGCCCTGTTAATATGCAAAACTGTTAGCCAATGACAGCAGTGGCCATTTACTTCTGACTATAAACCACACCCATTGCAACAGTGTTCTCATGATGAGGGTCTTTATGATGTAAAAACCTTGATTACATTATAAGTAGACCTCATCGAACAATACAAAATAAAAAACAAAGGTAGTTCATGATGCCTTTAAAAGTAGATACATTTGCTCTTCATTAATTCTTGCTTTAACATGATTCAAAATTGTTTGTGATACTATTAATTTGTTGTTTTAGTTCATTATATTACAGAAAGGCCATCTTGATCAAATATATTTATCAGTTACTGAGCATAATGTAATTTTAAGGCAACATAATGTACATATAAATGGAGTGTTATTGGTAATAAACCACAGTAAAGAGCTGAAGTTATAATGTGATATCGATCACCTTTATCTCCACAGCCTTCTCGATATGTTTTGGAGGTGATGAAGAAGGTTCGGTCCAGGTGAGAGCTCTTCCTCAGCTCAGTCAAAAGCACTTCCAGCATCTGTTTCCCCATTTGTCTAGCACAGTAATGTTTGGGTCAGTCTTGAGTTTTGCTCACCTCCGTCTCTGTTTTGCGTTGATAGTGAGCTGGAGGTGTCTCTGCTGGTGCTGCCCTTTCCATATGTCCCTGATCTGCTGAAGCTCTTCAATGCTTATGTAAAGGAGGGTCTGGAGGTTGAGCTGGTTTGTCGCTGCCTCTTCTTCTTGCTCAGGTGCTCATCTGGAGATGTTGCATTAACACACTTCAGTTTTCCTATGAAAAGCCTTTTATAGTGTAGTCCATTTGATAGCAAGTGCTCGACACATGCACACTAGAAAGATTCATCCTTGTCAAGTGTCTGCACTTCTCTTCAAAGGTTGTGAATAATTAAAAAGCAGAGGCATTACATGCAAATAAACTGTCAATTTTGAGCTTTTTGTATTACAATAAAGGTTTTTTCTCTCCAATGGAAAAAAGACATCCATAATACACTTTTAAGTGTTTCTTTTGTCACACCTTATCAGTATGTCTGAAGATTTCAACGACAATCGATATTTAAAGGCTGTTTTCTTAAAAGTAGGGTTTTCCTCCTGTACTGCAGTACAAAAACTGCCTTTCTAAGAGTTTTAGTCTTGTTTCTAGTCCGAATATCTAAAATTCTTAAATCAAGAAGCATTTTATTGACAAATAAAAATATTGTCTTGTTTTTAGAAATAATATGAAAAAAAAAAAAAGTAATATTTCCTTAAAACAAGCAAAATATTCTGCCAATGGGGTAAGCAAATTAATCTTATTTCAAAGCTAAAAAAAACTATTTTGCCAGATTATTTTGCTTGTTTTAAGAAAAAACTCACTTAATTTTGATGTTATTTTCTGAAAACTAGACAATATTGTTCTTGATTTAAAATAGTTTTTATATTTGGATTATAAACGAGACAAAAACTCTGTTAGAAAAGCATTTTTTTGTACTGCAGTGCAGGAGGAAAAACCTACTTTTAAGAAAACAGCCTAAATGTTAAACTAAATATTTAAAATAACTAAAAGTAACTAAATATTTTATTTTAGATTCTGTGTAGATAATCTATATTCTGGAGATGTGTACATAGAGATATGTAGCTCATACATAATTTGCCTGATTTTATAAAACATTATTCCACAAAACTTGGATTTTTTTCTGGCTGTTGACAGTATTTTCTGAATTATGACTGTAATATGCTTAAATGTAATTTTAAACAATAATTTTAAACCAGAGTTCATCCAGTGTTCAGATTTTTCTACTATAAATGTATGCAGATTAACAGATATTTACTTTAATAATGCCTTGCATCTTTAAACATGACATTTTAGAAAATGTGTAATATAAAAAAATCATTCTTAATGTAATAAACCAACTGAGAAAGCATGGTGATAATTATTATTTTTGCTGTATTATTTTTTTTTACCCTATTTACCTGCAGTGTATTAGCATAAATCTAAATTACTGCCATGTCACTGTATTTGACCCTAATTTACCGTTTACCCAGAGTCCACTTTGGTCAGATCACCAGTAATCAGATGCTGCTGTCTGTGATTGATGAGTTACGGGCCAACACGATCTCTAAAGTGCGAGAGATCAGGGTGAGTTTGTACTGTATACTGTAGCCACTGCAATCTCATCTCTTATAGGAGCAGATTGGGTAAGGCTCTGTTTTCTCATTTTCCTGTTTTCAGGATGTCCTGGGTTTCAACAGCGCTGGTCTTCAGTTCCTGCAGCGGGAGATTGAGAGCAGAGAAGATGTGACGTTCTTTGCTGATGCCACAGACCGCTTTGAAGAAAAGAGGAGAAAGAGGAGGAAACGGGAAAGAGTTATTCTCACAATCACATAACAACCAGGACAAAACTGACATGACGCTACTGCTGTGTGCTTTTACAGTCAGCATGTATGTATGTATTCATTGTTCTTTTGTACTCGCCTCAAGTTCATAAAGGTGAATTTATCCACAAATCAACTTTAATGAGACTGTTGTGTCGCTTTTTTTACTTCAGCGTTTTCAATATCAACAGTAATTGATAAACCTTTAAATATAGACCTGCTGTGATCTCAGAGGTTGTGAAGTTTGCAGTTGTTTTTTTTTTGTTGAATTCACTTACATTTGGAAAAATTATCAAGTTAACTTAATCGGTTTCTGTTGGGACAACATGAAGGAATTGTTTGAAACCCAGCATTTTTTACAGTGTACACCAGTCCATCATTTACAGTTACAAACAGAACTGTCATTTCAAAGTCCTTCATTCCAATTTTGATACCACAATAAAAACAATTAACCTAATACATATAAAAAGCATTTTCTCCAATACAAGTGAGTCAGTAATAAAATTGAGAGTGCCCTTAAATCCAGTATGGAGGCGTGTGAGAGATCTGCAGAGTGGATGGCAACATCAACAGCCTGATGTATCAAGACGTTTGTGCTGCCCATTACATTACAAACCACAGGAGAGTGCAAATTCTTCAGCAGGATAGCGCTCCTTCTCATACTTCAGCCTCCACATCAAAGTTCCTGAAAGCAAAGAAGGTCAAGGTGCTCCAGAGTTGACCAGCCCAGTCACCAGATATGAACATTAATGAGCATGTCTGGGGTAAGATGGAGGAGGCAATGAAGGTGAATTCAAAGAATCTTAATAAACTTTTTGAGTCCTGCAAGAAGGCTTTCTTAGCCATTCCAGATGACTTTATTAATAAGTTATTTGAGTTATTGCAGAGATGTATGGATGCAGTCCTCCAAGCTCATGGGAGTCATATACAATATTAATTATTTTTCCACTGCACCATGGCTTTATATTCTATACTGTACATTATTTCTGTTAAGTGACAAGACTTTTGTCTCAGCAAAGTCAGCTTACTGTCCTAATCAAATCATTAAAAATCAAGACATCCTCATTTTGTTTTAGTAAAATAAGCGTAATCTAGAAGCCTTTGCCTTTTATATAAGCCACTGTTGATACCAAATGATCAACTAGAAGTCGTTGGATAAGCGACGAGACTTTTGTCAGTGTATATAGGATAATACTAAATATAGGATTATTTAATAATAGGTTAAATCTGCACAATCTGAGACATTCGTTTGACTGTGATGTAGCAAGAAATGTACACGTCAGGTCTCAAGTGCCTCACATTACCCAATGTCCCACATTAACCCGATATTAATGCCCATATGTTTTCTGTTATGCTTAATTTTGTGGGGGAAAAAACCCCTGAAGTGAGTCATCAAGACAGATTGTCATTCTCACCGATCACTGTGAGCCTATAAAAACACAAGAGCTTTCGGTAATAATGAAATAATTCAATTATAGTCTTTCTGTATGTCTAAGGTTGTGCTGACCCGCTTTCAGCTGGAGGGAGATCCAGACTTCACTGAGCTCATAACCTGGCCTCAATTTACAGTTACAAGCATGTGTGAATGCAAGATTCATAATTCAAAACCAGGAATCTGACGCTGCTTTTTTCGGCGACATTTTTCACTGCTCCTCATTCTGAGCATCAGTTCTCACCCACCTCTCACACCTCGACTGTGTGTTAACATCCTAATCATCAGTGTCTTGGAAATAATGAAACAAATTCCTCAAGACACTCTTTTCAGACCTGTTCAATCTAACCGTATTAAAAAAGCAAATGAAGTGTATATTTATAAAGCTGTAAAAAGGCTTGCAGCATTTTATGAGTCCGGTCCAGGTCTCAAAGCTATAAATGTCACACCTACCAATATTAAAAATTCCTCTGAAAAAAAGGCTGACGTTAAACGCCTGAGAACATGTTTTGTGTTAATCTCCGTGCTAATCAAACGCAGCCGTGTTTTAATGGAAAACCACATTATTTCAGCATCGCTAACCACCACTGACAACGACTGTAGATTCAGCGTGTGGAAAACCATTCCTTAGATAACCTTTTGACCTCCTGATTTTGTTGTAAACACAGCAGAATAACAGTGGTTTCGGGCTGAACTAATTTCAAAAGCTACACTGCCGAGTCCAGAAACAATTCAGTCTAATATTGTGGCCGATATTATTCGTAATAATAACAGGGTGCTCATAACGTCCGCAGCATACGGAGAGTGTGTTTGAAATGTTCCTGACATCTCCACTATTCCCCGACGCTTGAGTCATCCGGCTGATTTAAAGCATCTATTGACCGCTTTTCACCTCATAACCTATATTTTCTTCCTTTATTACTCGGACACCAGTGATTGTGTCATTTCTTAATAAAAATAATAACCGCAACTCAAATAAAAAAAGAAAGAAAGAAAGAAATGCACAGTTGTCTTGGTTTTGAGTTTACATTTACATCATTTGTCATTAAGTAGATGCGTTTATGCATTTTATTTTTAAATCTGGAAAACGTATTTATTATTAGAGCATTTTCTCATCTGCAAGACATCCTATTTAGCGTATCTTTTCAGAAGTTAAATAGATGTTTAGAATAGGTAACTCAAATCGTTTGAGGAAACCGATTGCAACAAACCATTTAAGTTGAAAAACTAATCCTAATGAATACTGTGTACTTAATCTATTTGAGTAAACGAAGGAATTTGAGCACAGTAAAACCCAATAAATGAAGAGAACTCAAACCATCTGAGTACTGTAAAAACATCTACTTAGCATATTTTTTCAGATGTTAAATAGATGTTTAGAATAAGCAACTCAAACTGTTTGAAAAAAACGATTGCAACAAACCTTTGAGTTAAAAAACTCATCTATATGAGTACTGTGAACTTACTCCATTTAAGTTAAAGTAATGAAGTATTTAATTAACTCACCTTCAACACTGAGTTCAAAACTCTTTTCAAATGAGTAGAATTAACTTTCAGCCAATTTTGAGTTAACTACACTCATTTCATTTGATCAAGTTGACTTGGGTTTTACAATGTAGAAAACGTCAATTTAGAGTAGTCTTTAAGATGTTTCAAATTCTTGTTGATGTAAACATGCTATCAACAAAGCAAAGTTGCACAATCCATGCTGTAAAGCACTTTATTATTATACATATGCACTATTCCTAGTCTCTAGTTATGAGTTTACGGTTTCAAATGATCTGCGTAGAGCAAGTTCAACGTTAACTGACTCAAAATGAGCCAAGAACATGTGAGCATGTGTGAATGATTCGGTGGTTACTGACAAGTTACCATATCAGTAATTTCTGCTGAATGTAAATTTGGTCTAAAGCAGTTTAGGCCCACTCAATGAAAAAAAAAGAAAAGTTTGCCACCCTGTATTCCCAAGGTAGGTTTTATTTTAATATTAAAAATAACAATTAAATCGATCCCAATTACTGACCATGCATTTTCCCATGCAGCTGTCATTGCCGATAATGCTTTACTCATTTTTCCCTTTTGAAGTCTGTTTATTCATTGCATGTTCAGATTTGTTTAAATAAAAAAAAAAACACTAAGATTTTACTCATTTATTGCATTTGCTGCATTTATTTAATAAAAAATACAGCTATAATTGTGAAATGTTGTTGCATATGAAATAACTGTCCAAAAGTAGTTAATTTATTTAAATAATTTATTCCAGTGATTTTTAAAATGAATTTTCAGTGTCACATGATCCTTCAGAAATCATACTAATATTATTTATTATTCATTCATTCATTCAGTCATTCATTCATTTTCTTTTCAACTAAGTCCCTTTTTTAATTTGGGGTCGTCACTGCGGGATGAACCGCCAACTATTCCAGCACGTTTTTACGTAGCGGATGCCCTTCCAGCCGCAACCCATCTCTGGGAAACATCCACACACACTCATTCACATTCATACACTACGGACAATTTAGCCTACCCAATTCACTTGTACCGCATGTCTTTGGACTGTGAGAGAAACCTGAGCACCCGGAGGAAACCCACGCAAACGCAGGGAGAACATGCAAACTCCACACAGTAACACAAACTGACCCAGCCGAGTCTCGAACCAGCGACCTTCTTGCTGTGAGGCGACAGCACTACCCATTGCGCCACTGCGTCGCCCGATTAATTATTATCATTATTATTAGTAGTATTATTGTTATTATTATTATTAATGTAATAGTAATAAAAACAGTAATGACTGGAATTTAATTTAGTTTGAATTTCATTTGAAAGTACATACAAAAACAAAGCAGGTATTTGATATTTAAATAAATATTTAACAATTTAACTTTTTTTAACATTTAATAATTGCTGCCTTGACGAACAGAACAATAATTTTCTTTGAAAAAACAAAAACCTTGAAAAAAACTGACCTGTGTATATATATGTTTATATGTGTGTGTGTATGTGTATGTATGTGTGTGTGTGTGTGTGTGTGTGTGTGTGTGTGCGTGCGTGCGTGTGTGTGTGTGCGTGCGTGCGTGCGTGCGTGCGTGCGTGTGTGTGTGTGTGTGTGTGTGTGCGTGTGTGTGTGTGCGTGCGTGCGTGCGTGCGTGCGTGTGTGTGTGTGTGTACAGTTAAAATCAAAATCATTAGCAATTAGTGAATATTTTTTTCTTCTGGAGAAAGTCTTATTTGTTTTATTTCGGCTAGAATAAAAACAGTTTGATTTTTTAAAAGTTCAAAACCATTTTAAGGTCAATATTATTAGCCCCTTTAAGCAGTATATATTTTTCGATATTTTACAGAACAAATCGTTTATTCATTGGTTCAAGTTTTCTTACAAAATAAACAATTAAGCAATTAAGTCTACTTTTAATACAGTAGACGACATGAGTTTATATACTCACATTGCCAGATTTGTTACACTACTTGGGTCTGTTCATTCTGTTAAATTAAACCATGACACCATTATAAAATAACATTTGTTCAATATTTAAATAAAAATCGTCATAATTTATATATATAAGTATAAAAACTTAAAGAATAAGACACCGTAAACTTTTTTGGAGACTGGTAATCACTGACATCTTACAACAGCAAAAACAAATAAAATTGAAGTCAATTACTACTGTTTTGAAACATTCATCAAAACACCTTTTTGTGTTCAAGAGAAG